TGAATTGAATTTAAAACAGTTTATTTAGCCAGAAAATCACAGATGCAGAGTGGATAATAATAACAATATTAACATAGCTGGCTCAGTTGAGAACCTGAGCTCTTCGTTGAGGACACCTGATATACTATACATTTATCTCAAGGAAGTATTATGTAACATTTAGTATCATGTGGAATAGTACAATAGCATGGTGGTAATAAGAACATCTCATATTGTTACCACGGTTGCCTTTGTCTACTCGGCAGTAATTGGGGACCTGGATGTTAATCGATATGTGGAATGTGTTCCGGGGTAATGGATAGTCAGTGCAGTTGGCGATTTGTCCGGTCTTCTGGATTATTCCTGACCCTGGGCAGCAGTGCAGCTCGGTTAACTTAGGGTGGTTGTTGTGTTGGCGACAGCTTCTACACCTTAAAAACCTTGGGCCGGCCATCCTCTTTACACGAGGTGCAACCATTAGGTAGGTAGGTAGGCCAGGCTCTCGCATGGAGGTAGGCCAGTAGGTAGGCAGGCCGAGCGTTCGGTAGGAAGGCAGGCTGTCAGGCAAACAGGTAGCCCTGAGGCAGGCAGGTGATTTACAGAGCTGAGCTACTGTAGTATGTGGTCTACGGAACTGGTGTGTTGTTATGTATGTGGTCTACAGAGTTGAACTGTAGCCTACCAGGATATTTACACTGTAGCATCCACGAACCCAACATAACCCAGGTTATCTTATGTTAGTGGATGCCACAGTGTAAATATCAAGGTAGACACAACTCCAGCTTTGTAGACCACATACTACAGTAGAGCTTCAGCTCTATAGACTGCACATCAGTCAGCTCTGTAGACTGCATATTACAGTAGCTCCAGCTCTGCAGACTACATGCCATAGTAGCTCCAGCTGTGTAGACTCCATACTACAGTAGCTCCATCTCTGTAGACTACATACTATAGTAGCTCCCAAATAACAACATAAGCATCTATTTGTAATTTTTTCATTCATGGTGATGTAGCCTCAGTCATCTGGTGTTGGTGGTAATAATGTAGCCTCAGTCAGGTGTTGGTGGTGGTAAAGTAGCCTCAGACATCTGGTGTTGTTCGTGGTAATGTAGCCTCATGTCATCTAACGGTAGTGGTGATGTAGCCTCAGACATCTGGTGTTGGTGGTAGTAATGTAGCCTTCTGCCATCTGGTGGTGTTGGGGGTGGTGGTGCTTCCTGTCATCTGGTGGTGGTGGTGCCTCATGTCATCTTGGTGGTGCCTCAGTCATCTGGTGGTGATGGTGCCTCCTGTCATCTGGTGGTGGTGGTGCCTCAGTCATCTGGTGGTGGTGGTGCCTCAGTCATCTGGTAGGTGGGTGCCTCCTGTCATCTGGTGGTGGTGCCTCCTGTCATCTGTGGTGGGTGGTGCCCCAGTCATCTGGTGGTGGTGGTGCCTCCTGTCATCTGGTGGTGGTGGTGCCTCAGTCATCTGGTGGTGGTGGCCTCAGTCATCTGGTGGTGGTGGTGCCTCAGTCATCTGGTGGTGATGGTGCCTCCTGTCATCTGGGTGGTGGTGGTGCCTCCTGTCATCTGGTGTGGTGGTGCCTCAGTCATCTGGTGGTGGTGGTGCCTCAGTCATCTGGTGGTGGTGTGGTGGTGTGGTGGCAATGTAGCCTCTTGTCATATGCTGGTGGTGGAGGTGATGTAACCTCAGTCATCTGGTGTTGGTGGTGGTAATGTAACCTCAGTCATCTGGTGTTGGTGGTGGTAATGTAGCCTCAGTCATCTGGTGTTGGTGGTGGTAATGTAACTCAGTCATCTGGTGGTGGTGCCTCAGCCATCTGGTGGTGGTGGTGGTGGTGCCTAGTCATCTGGTGGTAGTGGTAGTGATGTGTCTCAGTCATCTGGTGGTGGTGCCTCAGTCATCTGGTGGTGGTGGTGATGGTGCCTCACTCATCTGGTGGTGGTGGTGCCTCAGTCATCTGGTGGTGGTGCGTCAGTCATCTGGTGGTGGTGGTAATGGTTCTCCTGTTATCTGGTGGTGGTAGGTGTGGTGCCTCAGTCATCTGGTGGTGGTGCCTCAGTCATTTGGTGATGGTGTGTCAGTCATCTGGTGTTGGTGGTGGTGATGTAGCCTCCTGTCACCTGTTGGTGGTGGTGATGTAGCCTTCTCTCATCTGGTGGTGGTGGTGCCTCAGTCATCTGGTGGTGGTGGTGCTTCAGTCATCTGGTGTTGGTGGTGGTAATGTAGCCTCCCATCATCTGCTGGGGGTGGAGGAGATGTAGCCTCAGTCATCTGGTGTTGGTGATATAGCCTCAGTCATCTGGTGTTGGTGATGTAGCCTTCTCTCATCTGGTGGTGGTGGTGGTGGTGCCTCAGTTATCTGGTGTTGGTGGTGGTAATGTAGCCTCAGTCATCTGGTGTTGGTGGTAGTAATGTAGCCTCAGTCAGGTGTTGATGGTGGTAAAGTAGCCTCAGACATCTGGTGTTGTTCATGGTAATGTAGCCTCTTGTCATCTAATGGTAGTGGTGATGTAGCCTCAGACATCTGGTGTTGTTCATGGTAATGTAGCCTCTTGTCATCTAATGGTAGTGGTGATGTAGCCTCAGACATCTGGTGTTGGTGGTAGTAATGTAGCCTCCTGCCATCTGGTGGTGGTGGTGGTGATGTAGCCTTCTCTCATCTGGTGTTGGTGCCTCAGTCATCATGGTGGTGGTGGTGCCTCAGTCATCTGGTGGTGGTGGTGCCTCAGTCATCTGGTGTTGGTGTGTGTAGCCTCCGTCATCTGTGGTGGTGGTGGTGATGTAGCCTTCTGTCATCTGGTGGTGGTGGTGATGTAGCCTTCTCTCATCTGGTGGTGGTGATGTAGCCTTCTGTTTTCTGGTGGTGGTGGTGATGTAGCCTCTGTCATCTGGTGGTGGTGGTGGTGATGTAGCCTTCTGTCATCTGGTGGTGGTGGTGATGTAGCTTCTGTCATCTGGTGGTGGTGGTGATGTAGCCTTCTCTCATCTGGTGTTGGTGGTGGTGGTAGCTTCCTATCCTCTGGTGGTGGTGGTGATGTAGCCTTCTCTCACCTTTGTGGTGGTGGTGATGTAGCCTCCTATCATCTGGTGGTTGGTGGTGGTGATGTAGCCTCTCTCACCTTTGTGGTGGTGGTGATGTAGCCTCCTGTCATCTGGTGGTAGTGTGTAGTGATGTAGTGGTGGTGGTGGTGGTAGCCTCCTATCATCTGGTGGTGGTGGTGATTTAGCTTTCTGTTGCTTGGTCGTGGTGGTGATGTAGCCTCCTGTCATCTGGTGGTGGTGGTGATATAGCCTTCTATTATCTGGTGATGGTGGTGGTGGTGATGTAGCCCTCTATCATCTGGTGGTGATGGTGATATAGCTTTCTGTTACCTGGTGGTGGTGGTGACGTAGCCTTGTGTCATCTGGTGATGGTGGTGATGTAGCCTTCTGTCATCTGGTGATGGTGAAGGGGGGACCTAGTTGAGGTGATAAGCATCTCAGAGGGCACTACTCAGTTGAGTGTCATTACTTGGAGGTGGCGGACGCTTGCCCCACAAGGGATCACAGCTCAAGATTGAAGAAGCTGCAAGTCCAGAAAACTGTGAGGGCAAACTTTTTCGGAGTGAGGGTTGTAAACTTTTGGAACAATCTACCAGAGAGTGTTGTGACGGCACCGAGTGTGAGCTCTTTCAAGACAAGACTTGACCGACACTGGAGCTGGTTCAGGTACATTCAGGAGCTGGTGCATGCCCAGTATTTGCCAACAGTGCGTGACAGAGACGTGACCGATCGCCCGGGCGGCTAGCGAGCCGATCTTTTGGTGAAAAAGATAAATGAAAGGGAAAAGTAATCAGAGACGTGATCGATCGCCCAAGCGGCTAACGAGCTGATCAGTGGCGAAGAGGATAAAAATAAAAGAGTTCTTCTGGTGACCTGACTGTTGCTGCTGCACCAGAAACACAAGTCAGGTTAGGTACAGGACAGGGCATCTCTCATTGTGGTTTCTTCACTAAACTCTTGACAAAGTACAGTAATTGTAACCCATGGACTGCATTGTCTAGTTAACTCTTCTAAGTGTAAATATCAATAAATTATTAGTACTGTACAATACTTGGGATGTATCAATTAATTGATAACTGCTACAGATAGTATCAATATTTTGCTGAATAATCAGTATCTGTAAACAAAGTACTGTATTAGTTTATGCCATTTCGCTGTCTGTTTTGGGTAAATAAATTACTCGAACATTTTTATTATGTGCAAAATACAGTAATTACGGAAACCAGTTACCGTAGTCTGTTAATTTATTATGGGAAGGTCACACTTGGCTGCCAATCATAATGTTTTATTGGATAACATGGCAGTGTCCTCTGTGGAAGTGTCTATAGCACTTCATTGTAAGGTAATGGATATATTATCAGGCCAGACAAAGTAGCTTTTGTTTAATATGAAGAGAAAAATAATCTGGTAAAGACTGTCACTGACGAGAAAGATTGTTTTATATGCTGTAGCATCGTTAAAGTACATTAGATATTTTATTGACCAATATTACCCAAATTAGAACTAAGAACGACCTGCTACAGTATTATCATAACTCTTACAATGAACGACATGGGTTGTTGAGGCTGGATAGGAGTTTTTATAACAAATTTAGTCAAAATGACAAAAAACACAATTTACAGAACAGTAAATCCTATTTTATTAAAGAATGAATAAATAATGAATAAATTTTCTAAAATAAGTCTTAAATATTAGAATAAAGTCGCTGTTGCTTACAAATGCGTGTCTTTTCCACCACCGTCTCTGTACAAGTAAACATTAAGCTGATGAAGAAAACTCGAGGATAATACAACAAAAATGGCCGTCATGAGGAGACTTTAACATCAATAATGAATGAATATAAATTTAGTAACACCGCTAGTTAATATTTTCTGGTCTTGGTCTGGTTTATGTTGTCTCGACCCTACTCTGACCTGACGCTCCTCTGACCGGACCCTTATTGCTTTCATTTTCACATCAATAGTAAGGACTTTTCCGGGCACCTTGGCTGGTTTACCAACACGAGACGAGGGCCGGGTGTAAAGGCCTGGGACTTGGGGATAGAAATCCCTTACCAGACTAATCAGGATCTTAATAAAGGAAAGTCAAGGACCATGGTTTTCTGAGGAATAACAAACAACCGTTTGAGATTGACATCTCTTTACTATAAAAAATATAACAAAACTCTGACACCACTCAACAAACATCAAGTAACAGGAGTCAAACAATTAATGCAGTAAACAGTTAATGGAGTCAAATTATTAAGGGAAGCAAACAATTAAAGGAAGCAAACAATTAATGGGAGTCAGCAATTAATAGAATCAAACAATTAATGGAATCAAACAATTAATGGAATCAAACAATTAATGGAAGTCAACAACTGATAGAATCAAATAATAAAAGGGAGTCAGCAATTAAAGGAATCAAACAACAAAAGAATCAAACAATGAACAGATATTTCCTACGGCAGTGGCCCTGGGGATGGGTTCCAGAACACAGTGATCCACTCTAAGGGGGAAGCGTCCGTTCAACTCCTCTCGAGCGACAGCGGCCGATGTGTTGATACAGCAGACAAAACACCGGGGCACAGACAGTGGAGAGGAGCTGGCGGTCGTGGCGGCAGTGGTAGTGGTTTGGGGTAGGTGCCCAGAGAATTGACAGTCGATAGGTGAAGGTCTGGGAAAACAGCCCACGAGTCCAGGACCTATGATGAGATCACAGCCAGAATTTGACGAACAGCGGTGTAAGGTAGTGACTGCACTTACGGCTGAGCAGGATCTGACGGCGACACAGGTAGAAGCGCTGTTCTCGCCTCTGTCCAACCCCCCCCCCAGTGATGGTCGCACCAGCAATCAAGCGAGTAAGCAGCAGTAACGAGCAGGAAGATCATTTCCGCCTTTACACCGGGTTATTTAACATTGATGAACAGACTAACGGCAAGTTTATTGTAACAGGTTTAGGTGTTGGTTAGATTATAATGTTGAGTTATAACATTAGTCTGTACTTATACTGTACAGTATATATTTAATATACACGGTATTCTTCCTGGATGGTTGCCGCTACCAACAGCCTTGATATTATTTACCTATAAATAGTTGACCACTTGATTGTTTAATAATTACTGGGTGTTGTGCCGGGTAGACTTAAACGCTGTAATAATAATTTAAAACCCAGCTGCTCTCTTATTGCAGCTTCAAAAATTCCTTAAGACTTATTGAAGCTGATGTATTTGTGGACGGCTTCTCTGCCACCAGAGTAAATTGTTTTGTTTAAATACTGTATTTGGCCGATACTTTGTTTATAGTCTGGCTTTGGTGGTGAGACTATATAGTGACTTAACTGTTTTACCTGCATGATAAAATTGACCTAAATTATAGCATTAACTCTGGCGGCAGATAATTGGGAGAGTTTTGAATGTGGTGATTAACGGTGCATCACTAATGTATTGTTCTTCAAGAGATGGAAAATTTACTCTTAGTGTGGATAAAGGAGAAAGAAATGGCAGGTGGTAACATTAGTGAAGCTATAATTTGTGAGAAGGCCAGACAATTGTTTGAGGACCTTAAAGCCAAGACTCCCAGTGGAAGTGATAGTGATGTGCCAGTGTTTAGGGGTACCTGCATGCTGAATAACACTAAGGTAAGATAAAGTACCGTATTTTTTACATTTTCCACAGAATTTTTTCAGTGTTAAGCGGTTGTATTTGGGGGCCTGGAACGGATTAATCCTATAACGAACGAATGGTATAACGAACGAGGTTCTGGAACCAATTACGTTCGTTATAGCATACCCCACTGTACTCATGTGCCGAACCTCTTGTGTCTACGATGGTACCACTTGTTCATTGTACTGTATAAGTTATATTCTAAAGAAAGCCTGGATGGTGGCAGCATTTAGATGTAAGTATAACAAGTAAATGAATGTGTAAGACTGCAAAAGAATGTGGCTTTCCCAGGTTAATCAACTGAATAGAATATTAGTAAAGCTGAGAGTAAAGGGAAGTAAGAATATTGAACAAATACAATAAATAAAAGAAAGTCTCAGAAAATAAAGAAAATAAAAGAAATATAAGCAAGAAGATCATAGAAATAGAAATAAAGTTAACAATTCGCAATATAGAAAGTTACAGTTGCGAGAGATGTTGTGGTTGTAAATGTCTGTACGTACGTACCTTTTACTTTTATCCTCTGCACCACTGATCGGCTCATTTACCATTTGGACGCTTGGTCACGTCTCTGTTACATACTATAGGCAAGTAATCCCATTAAACCAAGTTTACTTGCATAATATTTATTCCAGCAATAACTATTTTAGTTCTCTAACATCAAGAGTAATTGTATAGTAGATATATTTTGAGTAATAATAATATAACACCAACATTATTTTGAAATTTGTCAACATTGAGTTGAGAACACACACCCTTTGTTTGCTTTTGTTTAGAGTGACCATTACAACCAACATGGTACCACAATATGGAAAGCTAATTCTTATCTCTCTTTCTCTCTCCACACACACACACACATGGTCAACTATAAGATAATAAAACACATGTAATTAAGATACATACAATTGATACAGTACAGTGCAATGGTGTGGGAACTCTTGTTTAGTTCTTGCTGCTTCACTCACCATGGTTGGATAACCAAAAGGTGAGCCATCCCCCTCCTCTAGGTTATTTCACCTGATAACTTAACATCCTAATGCTAGCTGATGAAATAGGCTGATGGTTAATCTTCAGGTTATATCTGTGGTTGATGAGAGTCAGCCTCAAGAATTAAGTTTCTCACACAATACAGCAGAAAGGTCTATGAGTCAGCTGGCAGCCAGGGCTCCCACTTTCAGGGAAATTGCCTCATTTTCCCCAAATTTTAAAGACCAAAAGAAAAAACGAGAAAATATAATAATATAAAAGAAGTTTCCTTTTGGTTCACTTGTACCATCTATAATAAACAACTCGTCAACAAACACAATTATGCATCAACTACATGAAGATAAACTAATGACAGTAACAGTACTGCCTACATGCACCAAATTAGTCCACTCACAGAACATCATCAAGACCCTAATTTTAAGAAAAGAAAAGCAGAAAATAGCATTGTCCAAAATAGAGAAATCTTTGAAGGAAGGCAAAAAAAGATAATATATTTTAAGGAGAAAATTGAATGTGGAATGTGTCATAACCGTGACATCAAACTTAGAATCTTGCTGAGCGAGGAGCCTCATACTGTGAGGGAGCAGGATTACCACTGCTGCTCGCAGAGACAGACGAGGGTCTCCGGCCCTCTGGTGCTGAGCTTGGACACTGTTGATCTGGTGGTTTGCCGGAAGTAAACTTGTATGCAGCATTGTCACCATTATAAATTTGCTGGTGCTGCAGTGGGAAGGTGGAAAGGCCCACTTGTGGCAAGGGAGCGAAACCATAGTTGTTGGCTGAATACAGGGGTGGAGCATGTGAACGTTCGGTGTAGCCGGGGCCAACTGTGGTCATGGGCTGAGGCCTGCACACACACAATATAATTTAGTAAGATTACAATACAGTACAGATGTTTATCAGATACTTGTGTGAGTTAACTTTACATACAGTAAACTCATTATATACCAGTACTATATCATTTAGATTCATGTGAGATGAAAACTTGTTATGCTCTGAGTAAAGTTAAATATTCACAGACCCATTTACTGAAGTCACAACACCAGGTGTGTGTGCGTGCATGTGTGTGTGTGTGTGTGTGTGTGTGTGTGTGTGTGTGTGTGTGTTTTAACAGTTAAAGTTATCTTATTATTCCAGGCAGATCAAACAAGCTGTAAAAGTTCATACATTCAGAAATATTAACTTTGTTAAATACTGTGATTAACATAACAGTGAACCAACTCAGGGACTTGGCCTCATCTTGTCATCAAATCAGCCTGGACCTCTGATGTTAGATCACTTGTGTGTGGTAATAAAACAATGGCTAACTGGGACAGAACATGTTCAGAAATTTGTCTGCCTAATTTTGAAATACTGTACTGTAATAATTTAGCTTGTACAACTACCAGAAACAAACAACATATAAAACAGAACACTCACCTTGACCATATGTACAAGGCAGTATACAGTGTCTTGGCAGTCGTGTGAATAATTGCACTGCATTACAACAAAAACATGGTTCTCACTTAACGATGTGAGAGACCTCACACATCAATAAGTGAAAGCGATGCTGTTGTAATATCATTATTCACACAAATTTACACAAAAAACTGTAAGGCAGCGTATAGACATTTTTGAGACACTGTATTGTGCAATGTTTACATATAATTATCACAAGACAACAGCACCACCACAAAGGTTCAGACTCTCAGTTTAATATTGTTATTATTTATTGAAATAATTTTTGTGTTTCTCTTAAGTTAAAGTTAAACACGTGATGTACTGTACCTTCATACAACTCGAGTTACAAGAAATATTCACTGTAAGAACCTTGTGAACTTGCCCCTGGATGGTCTTGATGAAGGTTATCTAGGTGTGACAGTGACCAGGTATGTAAACTTTGGGTGTGGTGTAAAGCTTGCACATGCGTGTCACCATGCAGGTGTAAAGCTTACATGTGTGTCACGATGCAGGTGTAAAGCTTACATGTGTGTGTCACGATGCAGGTGTAAAGCTTACATGTGTTACCATGCAGGTGTAAAGCTTACATATGTGAGTCACCATGCAGGTGTAAAGCTTACATGTGTCGCCGTGCAGGTGTAAAGCTTACATGTGTGTGTCACCATGCAGGTGTAAAGCTTACATGTGTTACCATGCAAGCATAAAGCTTACATATGTGTCACCATGAAGGTGTAAAGCTTACATGTGTCACCGTGCAGATGTAAAGCTTACACATGTGTGTCATCATGCAGGTGTAAAGCTTACATGTGTTACCATGCAGGTGTAAAGCTTACATGTGTCACCGTGCAGCTGTAAAGCCTACATATGTGTGTCATTGTGTAGGTGTAAAGCTTACATGTGCCACCATGCAGCTGTAAAGCAACACTTAAGTGTCACCATGGAAGTGTAAAGCTTATACAGTACATGAGTCATTGTGTAGGTGTAAAGCATACACAGGTTTCACTGTGCAAGTGTAAAGCTTACACAGGTATGTCACTGTACAGGTGTAGTGTACCGGAAGGCTGGGCGGAGGGGGGACGTAGGGGCGACGGTGTGGCGTTGCAGGCCTGAGGTGGGTGGGGCCCGGAAGCGGGGGTGAGGACCCTGGGAGATGTGGATGTGGTCAGTGCCATACACTGCCCCTAGTGTGGAGATGCCTGACGTCCTCCTGTTGAGCTGTGACACCTTGTTCCTTTTCTGGTGGTGCCTGAGGGACCAACACACTCTAGTACCCACCTACACCCTTCAACCATCATGCATTTCAGTAAACATTTGAGAGAAAGAGTGAGTGTGTCTCATGGGTATACAAGGTATACAAGGCAGTAAAGTGGCCAGCACTTGCACTTGACCATCTTCACTTTCCCAATTTGTAGTCAGGTACTCATTTACAGCTGGGTGGATAGAGAGTGCCCAGGGATTGAGTGGTGTATTCACTTGAGTTTCAGTAAAATTGTTAAAGAAGTTAAAAATTATTCATCATGTCCACTGACAGTAAAAGTACAATATACAGAAAATGGTAAACAGTTAGTGGATTTACCAGAGAATACTGTACCTTAAGAGAGATGTTAAAAAAACTTATTTCCATTACGAATCCTTAAGTTACATAAACTCTAGAGAAATACCTCAATATGTATGTGATTACATAAGAAAACGTCAATATTTAAGATGGTACAGGTAAGAAAGATAAACAAACCCACTTTTGCACAGTGCTGAAGATACAAGCGGTCCAGAACACGACAATTATAAGCCCTAACACTATGCCAGACAGGATGGGTGACAGGTAGTCCTCTCTGCCACAGTCACACACTAACATCTCCTCTCTATATTCACAGGGGCTGTTGAGAGATGAGAGAAACACACTACCATGCTGATTACTGCAGGTTCGAGTACTATAGAGTGAGTACTGTATATTGTGTTGAGTACATTAATTAAATATGAAAGGTGACAGACTAACAGGTGTGATATAAAACATTAATCAAAACCAGACAGGTAAATCCAATGTATTATAAAACAGTAAAATCAAACCAAACAAGTTAAACCCATTATGTCATTATAAAACACCATCTAAGACACGTATAGAGCTGAAGACTCACAAGGGACAGTCACAGGTCTTACTACTGAGGCAAATAAGACCTTCCACACAGTCTGAATCGGTGGAACACGGCTGGTTGGGCAGGTTGCCTTCTTTCACGACTCCCGGCTCCCCTGGCTCACACACACTCTTGTCCTTGTTGTATACGAAGTTTCTGTCCACACCCACACACATACACGTTATTAAGTTTTTGTTTGTTTACATAATGTTCAGTATAATGTTTTTCTTGTTTTGTTTATTTGTGTTTTTCATTTCAGTTCAGTGTACAGTATTAACAAATAAAAAGAGTTGTATATCATTACTGTATTCTTATTATTAGAGCCTGGAAGTTCAGGCAAAATGCCATATATGCTTATATTTGCCTTTTTTGTCACGTGAGTGAAATATTGCCTATTTCATTGAATTATGCCTATAATGCCTTATTTTAGTGTTTTGTCTGTTATTTTTAAAAAAAAAGTGAAAAATTATTTCCCTGTGATTAGTACGATTATATGGGAGAAATAATTTTTTTTACAATACAGTATACTGTATGCCTATTCCTGGCTCACTACGCCTGCCATGTTAGTGGAAAGTACCTCTTGTTATGCTCAGTGAAGCATCACTAATCCAAGGGTTGTCAGATGTCCTAATCGCGGGTGAAACGTGACTGACACGGGTGAAGCAATCAGTTCTCTTTCAAAGACGGAAGATGATACACCCACATAAACAATGCCCAAAACAAAGGCTTCCCTTAAACAAAAACTTTGCAGTTTAGTTTAAGAATTTGGTGATGTTTTGTCAACAGATGGCAAAGTGCTCTTTTGAAAATTCTGTGAAAAATCGATAAACTATGAGATGAAGTACTTTGTTTCTCATCTTTTAGAGACATGTAAGCATAAAACAAATGCTTCTCAAAAAGATGGTGAAAAGAAGACATGCCTTCTCTCAACATACACAGCAGCTTCCAATCGACAATCTCAGTTTTCAATGGACTTGTTTTTAATCGATGCTGGTATTCCTTTGTGGAAGGTGGAAAACAAATCATCTCTGAAAGGATTTCTAGAGAAATCCACCAAGGAAAGTGTACCATGTGAGGCTACATTAAGAAAAAATTATGTAAACCCTACCTTCGAAGGAATTCGTTGTATCTACTGTTAGTTTGTGAGAATTGTGGTACTGTACTGTTAAAGCTACCATACATGATATGTTTTTAGTTCACCTTAAAAGGAAAAATATCAGGATAATGTATATTGTGTAACCATACTACTCCTGTAGTACTTTATTGGTGTATGTTAACAAATGGGTATTTCTGTGAAAGGACATGACGTGTAGTAAAAATCTATTTAATTTTTCTTTCACATTCACACTACATTTGTTCATTTTTCCAGCTCAGAGGAATAGTGGCAAAATTAGAAAGGCACAATGTACAAAATAAAAGGTGTCCACGCCACTGTTAATCAAAAGGGTTAGATTATGTATTAAATTATCATTATTATTATTATCATTATCATTATTATTATCATTATCATTATTATTATTATTATTATTATTATTATTATTATTATTATTATTATTATTATTATTGTTGTTGTTGTTGTTATTATTATTATTATTATTACAGGGGATGAGTGTTTAAGGTGGCCACACCCAAGTATAAACTCCCTAAAATACACAAGACAAACCATCACAGTAGTACGGGTTGACTCTGTACTCACGAGGGGCAGGCACACATCCCGTTGACACAAATGAGACCTTCCAGGCAGTTATAGGAGGAGGTACAGGCCATGAGGTGTAGCTGAGGGTCCACACACACTAACCTCTCCTTCAAGTATGTGTAGTTCCTGTAAACACACACACACAATTAATAATTATAGTGTGTATAGACTTGTTTATAATGTTCACCACAATACTGATTTAAGTTGTTTACTCCTGTTTGTACACACAATACTATTATATAATCCAAAGTAATGTCGCAAATGTTATTATTATTATCAGTGTTTGAGGTTACCCCATGTCACACCCAGGTATAAACTTCACAATTATAATAAACTTGATGTATAAAGCCAACCTTAGAGAAACACAAGGAGATACAGAAGGTAGACACTGCACAGTACAATACTCACAAGGGGCAGGCACATAGGTCATTGGTACACAGAAGATTCTCAGGGCAGTTTAAAGTGGTGTTGCAGGGTGTGATAGGTAGGTTAGGATCCACACATGTATTCATCTCCTTCAGGTATGTGTAGTTCCTGTATATACATAAATACATATACATATACAGTTATGTTTATAATATTGTATGTGTGTATTTTCTAATGTTCATCACAGTTATACAAGGTGTCTATAAAGTCCGTGTGCAGTTTAAAATGTTTCTAACTTCAGTTCTATAGGAGATAAAATCAATCTGTAAAATGCAATAGAGAAGCAATTTATTCAAGTTTTTGCAACTACAATCTTAGGATTTTAATTTTCAACATATCCACCATAATTATGGATACAAAGCATAATACGATTTTGAAGCCATTCCGTATAGTGTGTGGTTGATTATCTAGAAAAATAAATAAATAAATTAGAATACATAAATTTCTTTGTTCGTGTTAAAACTTGAATAAACTGTCTCTTTATTGCATTTTACAGATTGTTTTTCTCTCCTATAGAACTGAAGTTAGTAACATTTTAAACTGCACACAGACTTTATAGACACCTTGTAATATTAAATTATTACTGTATTATAATTAATATATTACTGCAAGTGTTACTCTTTGCTTAGGAGTCATAGCCACCCACACACAGATACATACATAAACAAAAACACCTCCATTCTAACTCTTGCACACTACACTCCCATTATTCATACATAACTACCCACTATACCCAACTGCCCCAACACACACACACCCATACACCCTAACACCAGCACACACACAACCTCTCCCTAAACATAAACACATCTTGCCCCCAACCCCCACACACACACACACACACTAAATACCCAAAATATGACCCCTTAAATAAAGTACAGTATTGGTGCTGACGTACGGTCGACATAGACACATGCAGGTCCTGCACTCAGTGTTCTCAGCAGTAGAACACCCGCCTATCTTTGTCAGACAGCAGAAGTCGGCGAAATGGAGTTCTTTCTCTGTAACACACAAACATTGATCTGCTATCTTGGTACACTGTCTGTATACCTATACTCTCTAGGTAGTCTTAGTATTAGTAGCACAGAGCATGTGGAGAAAGAATCCAGAATGTGGACCAAGGCAACTTCACTCATCTGGTGTTCACAACATCGGAAAGGGATGGGACCTAATGCAAGATGCTTCTACGCTAGACTGGCTGAGGCGTTATCAGAACAGAAGCAGCAGCCCGAAGCTACATCGCACCCTGGTTGAAGTGTCACCTATCTTTCTCTCTGCTCAGTTCTGTTTCACTTTGCCCCAGGGGAACAAGGTCATCGATCTCTACACCAATAGTCACAGACAGGGACTATGAGGCAATAGTCATGAATTGACACACACATCTACTGTTTAACTAACTTAGCTAAGGTAGATACTTTTGTATTAGGATACTTAGGCAATAAAATGGTGGAGAAGGTATGGCTATAAGTGGAGGCTGGAGGACATAAAAAAATATAATTACTATTATCATCATTATTACAGAAGGTCAAAATTATAAGCGTAAACACACTCCATGGTTTCACAGTTACGTGGTCAACTTTTTGTGACCATCCATGTAAAAAGTCCCCACAGTTAAGTGGAGTCCACTCAAAAACTCTGAAAACTCCAGATAAAATCTACTGAATTTTAGCTGAAACGTTTGAAATTTCATCCTCTTCCTGGAGTCTTGCATGGACACACGTGTCCCCACGCCAGTCTCCCGCTTTGTTTCGTCTTTGTTGTATCTTTTCGTGCATGTTGTGGTGAATTATTTTATCATTTTTGTAGCCATGAGTTCTCAACCCAAACAGGGTGGTGCAGCGCTCAAAAGGAAGCACACTAGCCATAGTATAGAAGTAAAATAGAAGTGATTAGGTGAAAGAAGAGTGGGAGTGGACAATCTACCTAGACCTGTTTCCTTTTCATCCTCCAACTAATCCTCTATCCCCCAACACCCACCTCCATCAATCTAATCAAATCAAACATCTCTATTTTTGAAGCTAAGTAAATAAAAATATTTTATTGTTAACATTATTTATTTTTAAAACATTATAATAAATATTTTGTCTCAATGAGCCACTGGAGTGAGTGTGCACCAGCAACGGTTGCTGCGGACTACCAGGTCGCTGGCACAAACTACGTTGCCTCAACACACCGAACCCTATGAACTTTAAGGACGTTAAATAACTTATAAAGTTAGATCATTTCTTAAAATAATGTGTTATCAAATGTTGAACAAATGTTTCTAAAGTAAATAATTGTTAAAAGATATCATACAAAAAAAATTGAGTGTTGTGTACAAGGTCATAGACTCAATTTGACCTATTTCCACTATTTCTTATGGGATTAGTTTCCAGCTTTAAGTGGATAATAATCCGAAGCGTTTTTCCTGTCCCAATTAACCGCGGACAACAAGGACCCCTGTACTGTATTATTATTATTATTATTACTATTACTATTATTATTATTACTAGTAGTAGTAGTATGTAGTATAGTAGTATTATGGAACAGGTATAACATACTTGGAGACACCGTTGGAGTAGTGATGTTATCATAATCTGCACTGGTGACCGTGTTCGTATCCATGGTGGCGTCCGTGGCTTCGGTTGCATCCATGTCTGTTGTGTTGTCATTTGCACCTGGCAGGAGTAGATTATGAACCACTTAAACAAAACCTTAATTAATACACACTCACTCAGGTGTTATACAGGGAGGTGGCAGGATGGGTGATCGGGGAGGGTACCTGTATTTTCGTTACTAATTACTCACTCCGTCTCTTATTCGTTTACTTATAGGTGTGTCAATGCTACAGGTGTGTCAGTGTTACAGGTGCATCAGCGATACAGGTGCGTCAGTGCTACAGGTGTGTCAGTGTTACAGGTGCGTCAGTGCTACAGGTGTTTCAGTGGTATACGGTAGGTCAGTTCTACAGGTGTTTCAGTGTTATTGGTGCATCTGCTACAGGTGCATCAGTGCTACAGGTGCATCAGTGCTACAGGTGTTTCAGTGTTATAGGTCAGATCTACAGGTGTTTCAGTGTTATAGGTGCATCTGCTACAGGCGCGTCAGTGCTACAGGTGCGTCAGTGCTACAGGTGTGTCAGTGCTACAGGTGTTTCAGTGCTACAGGTGCATCAGTGTTACAGGTGCATCAGTGCTACAGCTGTGTCAGTGCTACAGGTGTTTCAGTGTAAAAGGTGCATCAGTGCTACAGGTGTGTCAGTGCTACAGATGTGGCAGTGCTACAGGTGTTGCAGTGCTACAGGTGTTGCAGTGCTACAGGTGTTGCATGTGTGGCAGTGCTACAGGTGTGGCAGTGCTACAGGTGTTGCAGTGCTACAGGTGTTGCAGTGCTGCAGGTATGGCAGTGATACAGGTGTGGCAGTGATACAGATGTGGCAGTGCTACAGGTGTGGCAGTGCTACAGGTGTGGCAGTGCTACAGGTGTGGCTGTGCTACAGGTGTGGCAGTGCTACAGGTGTTGCAGTGCTACAGGTGTTGCAGTGCTACAGGTGTGGCTATGCAACAGGTGTTGCAGTGTTACAGGTGTGGCAGTGCTACAGGTGTGGCAGTGCTACAGGTGTGGCAGTGCTACAGATGTGGCAGTGCTACAGGTGTGGCAGTGCTACAGGTGTGGCAGTGCTACAGGTGTGGCAGTGCTACACCAACAGGATCAATAACTTGAGTTATGTCACAATGACCACTCAGCCAGGCCTACTTATCATACTCGTGTGTATGTATGACTACACACACACACACACACACACACACGGCAATGGTAGTGCGAGTTATTGAGAAAAATGTTAAAAGTGAGTGAGTGAGTCAACTATGGAGAGTGAGTGACTCAGCAAGGGTGAGAATGAGTGAGTGACTCAGGAAGGGTGAGAACAAGTGAGTGAGTCAACAAGGGTGAAAGTGAGTGATTGAGTGAGTCAACAAGGGTGGGAGAATGTGTGAGTAGGTCAGCAAGGGAGAGAGCGAGTGATTTTCGTCTCTCACGGTGAATTATTGAACGCTTGACATTTGCTGGAGAGCTGAGCTACCCAATACTGTACATGTCTTATATAATGACTTTTGTGTGTGTGTGTGTGTGTGTGTGTGTGTGTGTGTGTATGTGACATTTAACACACAAATGACTTAACACACCTGTACACAGAGTTGCAGATGAGATCAAGAGGAAGATGTAAGGTGTGCTGAAACGATGCATCTTTAAGCGGTGACACTTAACGGTGTGTAAAGTGTGTTGTGTTAGGCACTTAACACTCTTCACCTTTGTTGTGTAGGTATATCAGACACTTAACACTTTTCACTTTTGTTGTTTAAGTGTATAAAACACTTAACAAACAAGACTCTTTCTAGAATCACTCTATGGCACTTTACACGTGTACAGGAAACAAGGCACTTAACAGGAGCATTCCACCCACCCATGTATTAAGTACCTTAAGTACTGTACCTGCAAACACTACACTTAACACCATTGTATTTGCAGCATACACGTCACTTGTTGGAGCATGTTGGTAACACTTATCTTCAAACACGAACACTAAGTACAGTACAGTATATCTTGCGCTTAACACTTATATTAGAGGTAAGGCACTTAACGTCATACCTAGTGACCTTTTCTGGTTGAGTGTATCAGCTGATTGACCTCTTGAAGTTTCGAATAAAGAGTGGATGTGATAGGAAGCAGCAACAGCAGTAGATGAAAACAGCAGAACACAGCAGGAGACAGGAACAGCAGAACACAACATGAGACAGGAACAGCAGTAGATGAAAACAGCAGAACACAGGAAAAGCAGTAGATGAAAACAGCAGAACAACACAGTAGGGTACAGCAGCAAGAGGAAGTGGGAGGGAGGGAGAGGAGGGAAGGGAAGGTGTGAGTCGCTGGTGGGCCAACAAGTCTCTGTCAAATATTGTAAGTGAGAGACCAAGCGTTCTCTCCCACCCTCCGTCTTTATCTCTCCAACCCCCCCCCCCCTTTCTACCATTACTCTCTCCTATCCCATCCTCTCTTCTTCTTTCTCCCCCTCCTTCCTCACACCCAACCTTCCTTTCTCCCTTGTTCCCACCCTCCTTTTCTGTCTCTCTCACCATCTTCCTTCTCTCCCTCGTTACTCTTGCTTTCCTTCACCTCCAACATCACCAACATATCATATCCTCCTCCACCCCTTCCATGTCCTCCTCCACCCCTTCCATGTCCTCCTCCACCCCTTCCATGTCCTCCTCCACCCTTTCCATGTCCTCCTCCTTTTCCACCTCCACCTCCTCCTACTCCACTCACATAATAGGAATGTAAGGCAATCATACCTAAAATGCCACTCAGACAGACAGACAGACAGTACATATTTTACCTCTGTTAACATTAGATTAGATGTCATTAGAGTCCATTGATTGTAAGGTTAGGTTAGATTATGTTAGGTTAAGGTTAGGATAGGTTATGTTAGGTAAAGTTAGTTTAGAAGTGTGGGTGGGAAGGTACTAGTAGAGTGGTGGTGGGGGTGTGGGTGGGAAGGTACTAGTAGAGTGGTGGTGGGGGTGTGGGTGGGAAGGTACTAGTAGAGTGGTGGTGAGGTACCTGTTGTGTTTACATGGTTGCTGGGACACTACACGAACACCTATTGATTTATTCCCACTCTAGCTGCTCCACTAGTGCACACACACACACTCACACACACACACACACACACACAATTGCTGTTCGACACTAAAATCACATCTGGCCCGTACAACCATGTGGTGATCGCTACATTCACAGCCCCATTCCAACCATTGTAAAAATCATCAACAACTTCTTGCCAATCCCCCTTTTCTATTGTAACTGTGCTAAAATTCATTGTTAATTGATCCTCTTTCTCCATGTCACTATATAATCATGTACCACTTATGTCATTTATATATTTTCAACTTGTGGCTGCTCTACTTGTTAATAAAGCATTGTTAGTGTTATTATTATTATTATAACAGTACAACATGCCCTGCCAATTAACGGATTTTTTTATTCAAGGATGACACCCTGGATGTACCCAAGAATGTCTGCGGGTAGTTTTAAAGTTGCTGGCATTTTTGTAGTCAGGACAGGGAGCCATTCGTTCTAGAGACAATAATTTTTATGAGGAAAAAATTGCCATATGGCAACCATATCAACTCAACTTTAATAACAAAGTATTGAGTTGACTCGAGGGTAGACTCTCACATTTTTTCTACATTTCGATACATTTTGTTGTCTTGTTTCTGATTATTTGTGAGAGGATTTTCCCATTAGTATTTACCCTGTATTTGTATGTGTTTTATGTGTGTAAAAGAAAAAATTGTCCTAAGGGCAAACAAATAAAAGGAATATACTGTACAGTGAACCCTCACTTTACGCGGTTAATTCAACCCACGGCAGCCCGCGTAAGGTGAACAACATAACATATGGGATTAATTGAAATAGAGACCGGGCCGACCCCCAAACTCCACTTTTTCAGACACAATACCTACGTTGTCGTAAAAATAACTTCTTAATTTTATGATGGTATGCACACACACAATTAATAATTAAGAGAAATATCAATAATATTAGGTTTTTTAACACTTACATTAGTAGAAAAGATGGCTGGGCACACGGGGATGGGGGGGTTGGTTCCGAGGCAGAGGGCAGATTATTGGCCCTCACCTGTATCACTTGTATCAATTGTATCACTATCCACCACAGAGGCTTGCAGGGCCTCTTTGTCAAACCCCTCAAAGTCCATATAAGTCCATATCCTCACTAACATTATCACTATCACTGACTTGGGCCGGCTGTGGTGGGTGGCGGGTGAAGAACTCGGTAATGTTTTGATGACTGGGCGACCTTGTGCACACTCTGCTCGCGCCGCTCTCCGCGAAAAAGGGTACACACACCACGGAAAGTGAGCATTCCGGTTTCGGCAGGGTACCGCGTAAAGTGGGACCGCGTAAAGCGAGGGTTGACTGTACATTTCTTTGCACACGAGTAGAAATGTACCACCCACCTCCCCCCCCTTGGTTAGAAAATGATACAGGTATTCACGGATTTGGCTATTTGTGGCCATTTTGAGGTCCTAAATCCCCATGAATTGTAAGGGCATGCTGTATTACTATACAGTACACACACACACATACACAGACAAGTATACATACTAACACGTGCATACACTGGTTGCCCCTCGTATACGAAGATGGCCGGCCCTTGGGTCACCTAGGTGTGAATTTGTTTAAGGTGTAGAAGTTGTCGCCAACACAACAATCATACCCGAAGTTAACGAGTTATATAACCCAGTGTCAAGGAATAATCCGAGAAGACTGGACAACTCACCAACTGCACTGGCTAACTACCCTGGAACATGATTTGCAAATTGATTAACATCCAGGTCCCCAATTACTGCTGGGTAGACAGTGGCAAATGGCGTAAAGAAACTTGCCCATTGTTTCACCCTGCCTGGGAATCGAATCCAGATCCACTCGCTTGCGAGGCATTTATGCTGACCATTACACCACAGGTTGCCATACATACATACATAAACACCCACAGTCTGGCCACCATGGCTGAGGACGTCTCCTTCTAGTGATCTGTACTGCAGCTGCTTGGGGTCATTATGTCGACCCTTCCCACAATAAGATATGAGCAGGGATTGAAGATCAATCCATGATCGACACAAAAATGCCATTTTCAATTTGAAAAAGAATGAAAAAGTTAAATCTCCAGTGGTACAGAGGAGTCACAGCTGACATTTGTTTACACCCATATGTGAAATGTAGACTCCTGTCAACACGAGCACGTGGGAACAACCAAGGGTCGCCTTCATCTTCGCCTACAACATGAGTCTAACAACATCATGTGAAAAGCCCAGCTAAACACCACATGATAGGTGAGAACTCCTGCCACACCCTTGCCTACTGTCAAAAAGAACAATGGATCCATGGACAACAGTATCATAGTACAGGGTACAGTACTCGTGAACAGACTACCTTTCACGAGGCACCTGTACAGTTCACCACCCCAAGGGAGAGGCAACTGGTGGTACAGTATCTTGCAAACTGAAGTATTTCCGAACTTGATAACCTCAAAAATATTATAGTTAGAACATGGTGCACATATAGAAGTCTACTAAGACAAATAAAAAAAAATATGAGTTGTTTGTCAAGTGGAATAAAACTGGTGTGTTCTATCTACACTGTTTTGGAAGTTATTAATTTTTATAATGGGACAAATAATTTATGGACACCCTGTACTGTCTGACGAGTGCCCAACATTATGTCCATAAAGCCAATAAAACAATGATGTCGTACAATAATCAACACGCAGTAAGGATAGTCCGATTAAAATAATTATAATTAATTTCAATACTACTTTATTTCACATACTGTACTGTATACACATCCAGGTGGAATCATTTGGTACAGTAATGTAGTGTAATACTATATCTGACAAGCTGATTAATTACAGAATTTTAATTTGGATAATTGGAATGTTATATCGTAGTACAGTACAGCACAGCACAGCCAATACACTAGTATAAGTTATAGTACACGTGTGACCTAAACAGCAGCCATCATGCACATTAATAGCGAATGGTCCCATAAAACTAACAATAATATAATTTATGAGGTTCATCACAGAACTTCTTACATCTTGTAAATAACATGTTGACATTATTATTTACCTCTTTTAAATTCCCATAAATATCAATTAGTTGCAGGGGACTCTGAAGACAGTAATGTTACATGTATCTGAGATCATTTTTTTTTTACCATTTGCCCTTTGTTAAACCTCCTATATTCAGCTGTTGTTGTGGTTGTTACTTCACAAAGATGTGAGGTCAATACAGTACTTCAAATCCATTTAGGTGAACGTCAATACAATACAGTCAAAGCTCAAAAGTTGTAAATAAATATGGATTTCTAAAAGTCATAAGATTATGAGCATTATAGAGCCCAGTTGGTGGTTTTGTAGAAAGAGAAAAAGGGTTTTAAATGGTGTCTGTACATAATAAAAACAAGTATACTGTACATAAATAAAGGAGAGGATGCATGAACAAAATTTAAGTTATAATAATAAGGGTTTTATTATGAGGTACGGGGTTATAGGTACTGTATGTGAGTGTCAGCACTAAGTCACCATTCTTTCAATGATGATATTCACTTGTCAACACACCTCACACACACAGCCACACTCTACACTGAGACACCAACCAAGCACACAGCTACTCGACACTTATGCAACCAAAACAATGTTATGAGAATAAATAAAATAAATATAGTACATGTAAATAAAAGGCCAGACCTGGCAACCCTGTGCGGTGGCTCCAGCGTGACCACCCTCTCACATCAGCTGACTGCTAGTAAACGACCATTTCATGTCCCATAATTTTTGCTGTGTTGATTTATGAGTGTTTGTTTTAACATAATACGACAAAAAACAATGTTTTGTTTATTCTAGGAGATGGGCTGACGTGCACCTGGGTAGACTGTCAGTCTATTTAGTATTTTGTGTTTCTCTCAAGTACCAAATTAAATTATTCCATTGAAACAACACTTCGATTTTGTGCGAATTCGGTTTAAGGCGACCTCTCTTGGAGCGCATCTCGTGTTATATCGACGTTCTACTGTATTTGAATCCTGGCGTGCACTTTATATCTGAAAGCATGCAGGTTCTCAAGTGCTGTGGACTCCTGAATTTAAAATTTTTAGCTTTGACTGTATGAGAAAAAACACACAACAAATTAAATATTTCACAGCAGTAACCAATGATCTCAAAATCCTGGATAAAACTCTGGTAGGGATTACATTCACATACTTTACTGGTGGTGCCTGGGGGCACCATAGTGAGGGGTGAGTGGAGGCAAGACACAGAAACTAGTCAGCCAGAGTGTCTAAAATAGTATGAAGATTGGATAGTTCAGTTGATAGAGGAGACACTGCACTGTTGGGTAGATGCCAGACACACACTCGGCCAAGTTGATCACCAACTGCTACAAGTTTCATGCTGTTGGAAAATTATATCTATCAGTAATATTGTAAACTGTGGTTCATCAGAGAGTAATATACAGTGGAGAGAGAGAGAGAGATCAAACAAAACAATTTCTTATGTGAAGTTTATATTCATTTACAGTGACCCTCGTTTAACGAACACCTCGGTTAACGTAATTTCGATTAACGAACTGCCTTCCATAAGGATCTTCAATTCGTTTAACGAAAAAAATTTCGCTTAACGAACTTCTTACGAACCGACCTCAACATGTTTTCGCTTGCACTGACCGGGCAACCAGCTTTAGTATCAGTCCGCCAATACATTAATCGGTTCTAGGGCTTAAATTCCTTACTATTTTTGTAAATATCAAGAAGTTTATACTATTCAATTATTTTAAAAGTTTAATATTCAATTTTTTAGTCATTTTAACAATTATTGAACAAAATTGAAGGTAAAGTGACTAGTTTAATGCGCGGCATCCAGCCTCTTAACACAGCAAACAGGCGTCAGTCTCTCTCTGTTTTCACTGGAGGTAACATCTTGCTTGAGACTCTCTTCAACTAAACGCTTTTTTTCTGTGTTTCCAAGCAAATTATTGGTCATTTTGAAAATTATTTTACATATTGACAATATATAGTGCAGTGCAGTGTTATTTTAAAGAAAATATTCTTTATTTACAGCTAGTTTAACTTTGAAAAATACGTGTTGCCATTGTTTGAATCCAGCATGGGGCCTAAGAGATCAAGAAAAGTGATTTCAATCCAAATGAAGCAGGAAATAATAAAAAAACACGAACAAGGTATTAAATCAAATGCGCTATGCAAAGAATATGGCATGTCGGCATCAACTGTGTCGACAATTCTTGCACAAAAAGACAAATTTAAGGAAGTGAACGTGAGAGACAAATCTACAAGAGTGTTTAAAAGTAGATCCCTAATCGTAGAAACTGAGAGGTTACTTATCATCTGGATTAGGGAAAAACAGATGAAAGGTGATTCAGTTTCTGGTGATTTCATTTGTGAAAGAGCCAGGGAGATTTATGAACATTTAAAGACAGATCAACCTAGTTCTTCAGGAACAGAATTTGAAGATTTTCGGGCTAGCAAAGGCTGGTTCGAAAAATTTAAGAAAAGAAGTGACATTTTAAGTGTTGTTAGGCATGGTGAAGCTGCTAGTGCTGATAAAGAAGGGGCAGCAAAGTTTTTAATTGAATTTAAAAAACTGATGGAAGAAGAAAATTATCTTCCACAGCAAGTGTTCAATGTTGACGAAACTGGGCTGTTCTGGAAAAAGATGCCCAAAAGAACATTCATCACCAAGGATGAAGCCTCTTTACCTGGGCATAAACCCATGAAAGACCGTCTCACTCTATTGCTTAGCCTAGATTTCCGATTGAAGCCTGCGCTTGTCTAAGCTCACTCCAAAAAAACCCCAGGTGTCTACAACAGTAGAAAGTGGTAAGAAGCTAATGCTTGAGTTTATTAAAGTCCAAACTGTGAAGGCATGTGGGGTGACAAGACAGTTCTTAATGAATGGGCTATTGATGTGTTTTTGCCCTCTGTCAAGAGCTACTTCTAACCACCAACAAACTTTTTAAAGGCTCTTTTCTCTCAGTGGATAATGCCCACGCACCTGACCTGCTAAATTTGGAGTATAACCTGACTTGTGAAAGTGGTTGTTTTTGCCTCCCAAACACACATCACCTATACAGCCAATGGACCAGAACAGATCAGCAACTTCAAGAAGTTGTACATGAAGAAAAATGTTTAGGAGGTGTCATCAGGCAAATCTCCGAACATCCTGAAACTAACACTGAAACAGTTCTGAAGACACAATTCAACGCCCCGAGGCTGTAAAATTGATTTCAGTCATCATGGCAAGAAGTTCCAATAACCCCTAATTCTTCATGGAAAGCATCAGGCCATCAGTAGTCCAAAGATTGAGGGATTTGAGACATACAGGAGTTGACCAGGAGATTGTGTCCATTGTCAGCTGTCAGTCTTGGAAGTGGAGGAGAAGGATGTGAAGAGCTATGATGTCTCATGAGGAGAACTTACTCAATGACCTGAAGGAACTGGATGAGATGTTACGGAACAGAGGCTGACAGGAGAGTGAAATTGGAAGATGACACACAACAGTTGAAAGATGTGATTTACCACTGGGAGAAGCCTGCAACTGCTCAAAGCACCCAGAAGTGGAACTAATCTCTTTGTGCTGAGGACTGCAGTGGTCTCTTTAAACATAAGTTAATGGTGAGGAGGACAGGATGCCTGACGCGCAATTGACACTTTTCAGTAAAAGGCAGAGGGAACAAGATGCTAGCCTCAGCTCTGCAGTAATTTCCTTCAAGAAGGAGAGGATGTCTACAGGGAGAAAGAATCTGTCAGTCCAGAGGTTCCTGACATTTTCATGGCAAGGTGACTCACCTCTAAGAAGCAGTGGGCCTCTGCACCTCCACTTCTCTTCCTCCTGCACTCCCACTCAAATGTACATCATCACCATGGTGAGCTGGAACCAATTACCCAAAAACCCATTGAAACAATGGTTTCGGTTAACGAACGTTTCGGTTAACGAACGACCTTCTGGAACGGATTGAGTTCAAGAATCGAAATACTGTACTTGATGTACTATCGTGCACGAAAGTCGTGTCCTCTACCCAACCACAGTGAGGATTTGAATAGCCTCGAGTCTGAAGTTTATAAACAACTGGGGGAAATGCTATGGTCGGCCAACAGATGTCGCCCACTGTAGTGTGTGGGAGGGGAGGGGGGAGTAGAGGAGGTGGGGGTTAGTCTAGTAACAAGCTGTGTGTAGGTGGAGCATAACATTGTGAATTCTGCAATCACTGATAACAATAAGAATGTCATGAAGATACAGTAAAACCTCGATTAACTGACCCTCGATTAACCGACTTTCGGATTAACCGTCAATCCCGAACTCCTAAATTTTTAATTTTTTTTAATTTTTTTTTTTTACAGGGATTAGCCCACCCGGGCACAGGTCACTGACCCACATCGGGGCCTGGGGGGCGACAATGTAATAATATTAATAATGATAATGATAATAATAATAATTTTAATAAAGAACCAAAAATAAATGCAAAAATGAAAAAAAAAATCAAGAGTGAGAAACAATATATGTATGTTGTGTTGTCAATAGTAAGAGAAGCAATTGAGACCCTGCAATTGTGTGTAAATGAGGTAGAAAGTCAGATCAGCAGCCTGGGAGTTGGTCACAATTTTTGTGATGACAAATGTTCTTTGACTTTTCCATTCTTTTTAACATAAGTACAGGTAGTTTTGCTATAACGCGATAATTGTGTTCTTGTAAAATATCGTGTTATAGAAAATCGCGTAATAGAAATAACAGGGCATATGGAGAAAATAGGGTTAGGTGCAGATTACTCGAAATCGGAAAAATTTAGTAGTTAGCCTAACACAAAGGATAGCACAGTCTAAATAAATGTTACATTCATATCTAATAATGAAATCATACAGTAAATGTAACACTTTACTTGATGGGGGAGAAGGGTGATTTTGAGGTTGATAAAATCGAGCTTCTCTTCAAGTGTTATATCCTTTCTTTAACGATCATCACCGGGAATTCTCTCACCAGAATGCTTCTTGATAGTAAGCAAAAATCGCGTTATAGCAAACAAGCGTTCGCGTTATACAAATATCGTTCCTAATTCATAAATCGCATTAGAGCAAATTCGCGTTATCAAAACACGCGTTATAGCAGAACTCACTGTACAGTATATAATTATATAATATTGCATATTATCACAAATATTTATTAAGCAAAGGATGGGTGGAATATAAATAAATATTACCATGACCTCTTTGTCGGAATAACAACAAAATTGTGACGTGGTCGCTGAGTAAAACTAGCTAATCCTTGCATATTTCACTTTTATCCTTAATATATTCCATTCTTTACAGTATCATTGTGACCTGAGCGGCAATAAGAACCCAGGACACTGCACCTGTTCCATGAATTTGTAACCATAAAGAAACAGCTGACAAAACGTAGTTAAAAAGACAGCTTGAAATTATGGTGGTATAAATAAACCTGCCTCTCATCCACCCCCCCCCCCCACACACACTACAGTGGGCGACATCTGTTGGCCGACCATAGCATTTCGCCCAGCTGTTTCGAAACTTCAGACTCAAGGCTTTTCAAAACCTCACTGTGGCTGGGTAATGGACACGACTTTTGTGCACGATAGTACATCGCAGTGTAAATGAAAAATCACTATACTTACTTTTTCTTATTAAATTGTAGAGTTGTTATGGGGGAAGGTTTTTCAGCAGCTGGTAAGATTAAGAAAGGTTGACCACTGCTTTTACCAAAGTCGTACAAGGCAGCTTCACCGGTGACACGGCCCACAGCCACCACCAGGGGTCGTGAGGGTGACCACCGCACACATGCTATGGCTTCTTCGCTGTGTATTACACTTACTGGCTTGTTGGGCTGAAATGATAATGCTATGTTAATCAAAGACAACTACAATGACAGCAACTAAAGTATTGATAAAAATAAATTAAGAAGAGTAAAACAAAATTTTTTAAACCAAATAAGAGAAGAGAACAATAACCAAAATTTCTAAAAACAACAATCTTCCTACTGGAGGGTGAAGTGAGGCAAATTACCTGAAGGAGGGTAAAAAGTCGTATTTGATTGTCAGAGGCAGCTGAGAGGACAGCATTTCTATGGTGAGGTGAAAACTGAGCAGTTATCACCCGCCCTGAATGAGAGGCGAGAGTGGATGTCACACATCGCATCAGTCCTACACCGCCAAATTCAACACCAGTTGGAACCTGTAAAAATGCAGACATAGAAAATAAATAGTTTTATTGTTATGAAGATGAGCAAAAGCTACTGTATATAAATGGTGCCCCTCTTGGCTTACCCCCCAAAAAAGATATAACTCCAAAATACTGTACCAAATACCCTCAAAATCAAATTCAGTTAGTTATGTCCATTTTAACTCAGTGAGCAGAAGCCTTAATCATATCACAACACCTTGAACTAAAGTTATCTTCACCATCTATCCCAAAAGTGTCACAATATGGGGTAGATATATACTTGGCTCAAAAGGAATAAGGAAGAGCTTGAACAGACATATCTTATCTCTGTGGTGGTCAGCTGGAAACTTACAAGGGGTGGATTGGTCCTGGAATGTGACAAGATTGTGGTTTGTAGCTGGCAACAAGTATGTAATGACTAGGTGAACCTGAGTTCCATTAGGCTCTCTGCCTTTAGAGGACAACCATTTCTCCTAATTTCCCTCCTTTAAGGCTGATAGCTGTGATAAGAGAGGGATGGATGTATAGTTGTAAGGTCTACCCTCAGCTTCAGTGGAGAGTAAGACACAATGGATATATTTCTAGACATGCGAGGTACAAGTGCTCCTCTACTTAAAAACGTTCAACTTACAAACTTTCAGAGATACAAACATCATCACTGAGGGTGGTTACCTGCCAGAACCGGTGTTTAATGTGGATGAGACAGGTTTATTTTAAAGAAAATTACAGATAGAACAAACATTACCTAAGAGGAGAAGAGTGAGCCAGGTTTTAAACCTGTATTAAAGGTGTATACCTGTATAGCTGTACTAAATATCCATAATCTTTTAATTTTTTACAATATGTTTGGTATCTACAAGAGTAAAGTTGGACTTGCAAACAAGCCTCAGGAACGTAACTCGTTCATAAGTAGAGGAGCACCTGTAATCAGATCTGCTTGGTGGAGACGTCTAACTAGAGGACAAGCGAGCTGTAACAAACCTATCAACATATTAAAGTTCTGCATCGTATAACATATCTGAAGATCTACCAGTATATGCAAGAGTTGGTAATGGACTGAATGACTGATGTAAGAGTGAAATCAAGGTTAAAAAATTTTGTGTTTTATCATTGTTACTACTTAAAAGTTTCAAGTAACAGTGATTTTGTGGGAAATAACCAATAGAATTAATTACGGGTGGACTGAAGGTATACACAGCTTCTAAGTATTTAAATTTTTTTTTACATAAGTCAACATTCTACATAATCTTAATATACACCAAAGACAAAAATTAAATTCTATGAACCTCAGAAGACGTCGAACACAAAAATAATCCTCCACCTTCGGCTCCTAAGACAAACAGCATTGAATCTTCAGTGTTAAAGGAAGCTGAAGAAATCCCTACACCACTTGAACCATCCATGTGTGTCCTGATGCCTCGGGGAATGTCTTGACCCTGAAGCATATAACTGAAATGATAATGGTAGTTGGAGTTAAGCAAATAATGGATACGTGAGTCAAGAGTGCAGGTATATATACGAGATCTCTATCACATGTCTCTATGGATGGGATTAATATATACAAGCTGCTCTCTCTCTCTCTCTCTCTCATACACAGGGCAGTAATCAGTTACATATGTTTCCAAAATAAGCAAATGTTAACTCTTACTAACACTGACATACAAGTTCTCTGGGTAATGGATGTCATTTCCTTGATAAAAGAGATTCTGTAAATAATAATTCCCATTTGGTACAAAATGTTTTAATTTCTCCTCATCTTTGTGTACTTGGCTTGTAGGTTGAGGATGTGTGTGTGTGTGTGTACTGTACTAATTTTAACACTTTCCTAGTACTCTACTTATCTTCATGCTCATCCTCCTGTGTCTTTAGCTTCACATATGGGGCAATAAAGCCAGTGTGAAGAATTCTTGGGTGTGACTCTTTAAGATTCCCCCATGTTACACTCAGCTCTGATTAACCATAGTGTTGAATATGTGTGGATGAGGGAGTTAAGTTTAATGTGCATTTAATTTTAAGATCAAGTATAGAAAGGATATAACAGAAGAAATCAATTTGAAAAATGAGATAATGAGTAAACAAGGCTGTATAGTACCGGTACATTGTATTGGATGCCTCATAGGTCGAGAAAACTAAAGTTAAATTGGTGGGGGTTTTCAGATGAAGACAACAAAGAAATTAACACTTAAGGAAGAGTCAGTTTAATGTCTATGTAAGGAAAGCCAGATGCTGCATACCAATCACTTGCAATAGAGGGTAATCAACAGCACCTACAGTATATGATTGGGTGTAGTTGATTAGACAGTACTGCACTACAATATTCTTTCAATTAGTGTGTAGCATCTGCCTTTCTGTACACAAATATTAAACAGACTCTTTTCTCCAGTGTTCAAGTCTCTGCCACCTTCACTGACTTGTTATGATTCCTTTTCCTGAAAAGGATAAAAAAAAAGGAATATTAATTTCCTTCAGGTGTGGAACACATGAGAACCCCTGTACTGTATATATAACTTTCACTTACCCAGATTTGAGAGGCAGCTGCTGCTTGGTAAGGTTCAGTCCCCACACAAGTACAAAACCACTACTAGTGGTAGCAATCAATGTGTTAGGGGTCCTAGATGCCATAATTCCACCAACACTTATGTCTACCCACGAGAGTGATGTCACGCTGCCACCTCCACAATCTCCCGTTGCTAGTGGGGTCACGTCCTCAGTGTGTGACAGGTTATATACCAATATTTCCCCTGTAATGACACAGATATGTTCAGTTTACTTTTACAGAGCCCAATAAGATTAGGAGCTCCTGCTTATTTCATCTTATGATCAAACACCTTAATGCTACCTGGGGAGAGATGTTATGTTATGTTATGTCATGTCATGTCATGTTAGCAGTAAGGTATTTACCGGTAGATCATCCAGTAAAATGAATGGGGGTTCCTCAGCTTCATCAACTCTAGATAAACTAGCTGTCTAAACCTTTGTTGCTGTAATACTTCAAGTTAGTGGACAGCCATGTGTGTGTGTCTTCCCTGAATACTTGAACTATCTTCTGCTGCTGAAGAATCGAGCAGGAACATCCAAAACATTTGCCAAACAGTTCTCCACACTGGTGCAACCATTGTATAAGCTACACACTATATGTTTATCTGCTACCATTGAGGGAAAACAATTTGTACATCTCACTGAGACAAGCTTGAGAAAGAATATACAAGTGATGAAGGTGAAGACAGTAAGCAAGGTAAGGTAGTGGCAAAAGTAAGAATAACAATAAAGAAAGAGAAAGATATTGAGTCACAGAAACAACTTGTTGATGGATGACACAAAGTTCTGAGTGGTTCTGTGGTGTGGCTGATGGCCTAAGAATAACAGAGCTATGAACAGTACCAAAACCACCTCCTTCACATCACCTGAGGAACTAAGGTGCTTCCAAGAACAATTGAGGCCAACTGGCCTATTACTTGACATGACATATTGATATACAGTATTAAACTAACAGTATCATTCCATTTTTTGTTTTGGAAAAATGTTTAAAAAAATTTAATATGAAAAATTATTATATTATTTTATTTCTTATACTGTATTCTAATGATGCAGACCCTAGTATTATGTAAAGCCCTTACGACAGTGAATAAGTCCACTTCTAAGTTATGTTATCTGATACTGCATTCCCAATCAACAGCATGTCCCCCCCCCCCTTTAAACCATCGACACTAAGGTTTGCAATTATTAATACAGTACATACAACAGTGATGAAGTCGAGACCATGCAGAAGACCATTAAACAATTTTAGCCTTTAAGAATCACCTGAAGATTAGCCCTGATAATTTTGGGGTGATAAAACTCCAGGATACAACACACACACACATATTTTTGGTACGGAGGAGCCAAGGAGAATGATTATACTCTACTTCTTGTCCTTCCATCTGGGTAAAACCAGGTGTACTACAGTAGCTTACCGAGTACAGTACAATATAAACCTGCAAAAGAACACAGCTGTACGCACCACTAAATGTTCCGGCAGCGAAGACAGCTGGATTGGTTGGATGAAAAGCCAGTGAGAGGACACATGAGGATGCCTCTATCACTCTTTCAGGTTGGTTGGCATCAAAGTCACTCCTATTGAGAGATAGAATTCATTAATTTGTGAAATGACAGATTGATCCTGAAAACTCATTTATGCCTGGGACTCTTGACTGGAGAGACCCCAACTGTACACCAACACTGGTATCTGGGGACTAGAGAAGGAGGGAGGGATTTGTTTCAATCACTTTAAGAGTAGCTACTGTACTTAATTTCTAATACCTGACTGTTCCAAAGTGTGTGAATCCAGCTTTTGTTAAGCTGAATAAAATAAACAATATAAGACCAACTGAGAGAAGAGACCCATATATAATGAAACTGGTCATTACCTGTTTATGTTCCAGACAGCAACAGCCCCCTTGTGGTCACACCAGTCATCGTGGTAACTGGACCCATAAGACACACCAATAACTGATCCCGTACAACTCCAGTCAATGCCAGTCACAACTCCCTGAAACAATGGACGTGAGGAGTAATCTATTAAGTTAACTCTGGTTGACTAACTCCTGATGTAAATTTAATGTTTTAGATCACCTTAAGATTAAACATCCCAACTTATATCACCTTTAGATTAACCAAAGTAATGCTAACATAACCTAATCTTATCCTAACTTAATCTAATGCTAACTTATTTCACTTAACCTGACCTACTTTAACCTAAGCTAACACATTCCTAACTGATTTTAACCTAACTTACCTTAACCCATCCTAACCTAACCCCTTTACGTAGCATTAGGGTGATAAATCTTCAGGTAAAATAAGCCAGGGTGCCTTAATCATCAGGTGACTTAAGGTTTTCATAAAATAAAAATCACAGATGTACCAGCTCTATAAACTTAAGTCTCACCTCGGGATCTAGCTGGTTCCAGCGAAGTGAGTGTAACATCTTGACCCCTAATGACTCTTCCTCTTTTACGACAGAGTACCCGTGAAAGGCTTGGCTTCTGTTCTGTCTCTCCAATTCACGAATAACTGAAAATAAATTTTAAGTCGGTTTTATCCATTGATATGCCTACATACTACACACCTAACCTAATTTAACCTAACCTGATGCAGCCAAGCATAACCTAATGCTATTTGCCAACTTAACCTCACCTAATGCAACCCAACCAAGCCTAACTTAACCCTTAAATCCTTGGTTAGGGTGCTGCTGGCAGTAACCCCCCGGATAAATCGAGAAAAAATTCAACTTTTCCAAAAATAATAAAAAATAATAATAAATAAACAAATAAATAAAAATAAAATTTGGCGGGAAAATAGGCGGACGTTCTGGAACGTCACCAGAGGCCTAAGGGTGACTTGTGATGTGGATGGAAGATCAGCTGCAAAAGCCTTCTAACCATACAGGCTAAGGTAAAAAGCCTTTTCGAAAGCCTGAAAGAGCACGTAGAAGATGAGTGTGACCAAAACTTCACAGCAAGTCATGGGTAGTTCCAAAGGTTTAAGAGCCGTTACAGTTTGCACAGTGTAAAGGTGAGTGGAGAGGCAGCAAGTGCTGATATGGGTGCTGCCGAAGCTTTTAAGGAGGAGCTAGATTGTGTCATCGTGGAGGGAAATTATTTGCCTGAGCAAATATTTAATGTGGATGAAACAGGCTTATTCTGGAAGCGCATGCCAGAATGGACATACATCCACAGAGGAGAAAACCATGCCGGGATTCAAGGCATTCAAGGACCGAATCACACTTCTGTTGGGGGGGAATGTAGCTGGTTTCAAGGTAAAACCCTTCATGATATATCATTCAGAGAACCCAAGGGCTTTTAAAAATGTCAGCAAGCACACATTGCCAGTGTTTTATTGCAGTAATAAGAAAGCATGGATGATCCGAGCACTGTTTGAGGATTGGTTCCTGAGTTGTTTCATTCCTCGGGCCAAGGAGTATTGTCTGCAACAAGGGGTTGGGTTCAAGATTTAATTAATTTTAGATAATGCTCCGGGACACCAACCACACCTGGACGACCTGCACCCTGATGTTAAGGTAGTCTACATTCCACCTAACACTACCTCTATCATCCAACCCATGGATCAAGGTGGTATTGCTGCTTTTAAAGCATATTATTTACGTACGACCTTCGCTCAGGCTGTTGCTGCTACTGAAGGTGAGAAAATGATCAGAGTTTTGGAAGGACTACAACATTTTGAAATGTATAAAGAACATTAGTGCAGCATGGGATGAGGTTACAGGTCAGTGCATGAATGGAATATGGAAGAAGGTCCTGAAAAGATATGTGAACAGTTTCAAAGGATTTACTGAAGATGAAGCAATTTCTGAGATTAGTAACAAGATAGTGGACTTGGGTAAACAGCTGTTGTTAGAAATTGGTAATGAAGATGTTGAGCACTTGGTTGAAAGCGTAGCAGAAGAGCTAAGTAACGAGGATCTTATTGAACTGGATGCACAGAAAATTGCAGAGGAAGAGAGTAAAAATGAAAAAGAAGAACCTGCACCCCCCAAAAAAATTTTCAGTGACACAAATGGCAGAGGCATTTGCTACTATTAATAAGGGGATGCAAATGTTTGACGAAATGGATCAAAATGTTGAGCGTTTTGCAAAAGTTGACAGAATGCACTTGCTTGCTACAGGGAGATTTACAATGAAAAGAAAAGGCAAACTGTGCAGTCTAAATTGGACATAAGAAGTCCCCCACTGCTGTCTCCTCACGCCCCACCACTGATGCCTCTTCACTCCCTAAAGATGATCCAATACCTTCAACAAGCAAGTATGTTAGCCTATCTGAAGAAAGCAAAATTGATGGCCCACCCAGCCCTGTCTTCTCCTCTGCTTCATCCAATTAATGTAGTCTCCATGTTTAATTTAAAAATGATTGAGGCCCCATGTGCATTCAGCTGACTACATTAAAGGTAAGTGTACAGTAACACTTTATTAATTTTTCATTATTGATTACTTTTACAGTACCATATTTCATTTTAGATTTCTATGTATTATTTTCGCATTTTCGACTTACGACCTGGTCGTCAGTCCCTAACCCTGTCATAAGTCGAGGACTGACTGTACAGAAAATTGTTAGAGCTAACTTCTTTGGAGTAAGAGTTGTGAACTCTTTGAATAATCTGCCAGAGAATGTTGTAATAGCACAGTTGTCAGCTCATTAAGACAGACCTGATCAACACTAGCATACAGTATGTTCAGGTACGCTCTGGAGCCAGTGCACGCCCAGCACTGTTTGTGCTAACAGTGTGTAACAGAGAAATGATCGACCACCCAACCAGCTAGACAAGCAACAAGTGGCAAAGAAGATAATGAAAAATATCACAAGTAATTTGCTTGTCTGAAAAAGAAGATAGATATAGTAATTTAAATTTTTCTTGTCATATAATATATGAATAAATTGCAAGATTGAAATAGTACCCAGGCCAAGCCTAGAAATGAACCAAAACAGCTACAGTATACATGTACACTCGTTCAGTACAAGAAAATATACTGTACAGTAAATGAATTCGAGGTCTTTGAATACTGTACAAAACAGTACAGGAAGACCACAATTTATGAAGAGGTTCTGTTCCTGAAAAACCTTTCATAAATCTTGTTATTTTATAAATGGAAGCATATTTCCCCAAAGACTCCCATTACAAAACCTGAGATACATCCCCAAAAATAAAAAAAAGTCTTAAAATGCAACACAACATTTTTAACAAAACTATTTACGGTACACAATACGTATAAACATATCAAGTGAAATATATGCTGTACAGTACAGTATTAATTTCATACCTGGACTTAAGAGAAACAGAAAAAGATTGTGAACAAAATTTACAGCATGAAAAGTCAGGCCCAAAATTACAACAAAATAATTATACAGTACCTCTACAATACTGAATTACTGTAATAATATAATGATGGGAATATATAGTATACACAAGGCTCCAAATGATGAGAAAGACATTACGACTCCGTGTAAACAAATCAATCATGTCACATACAGGAATATATAAAGAAAAAATCTATATCTCTCCCTTTCTTCAATAAATAAACATATAAATTACCAAAATGTGAATAACACTTCAATGTACAAAATGGGGTTTAAGGCTACTAAATTTGGCTCTACAAAGAACTTTTCACACATAGTGGTGTAACTACCCAAAACCTTTCCCCCTTGACTGTAATGTCCATCATCCCTCGATTTTGACTTTGTCCCCTTCTGGAAAAAAATTCTGGAGATGCCCATGACAGTTGGTAAACTTCTCTCCTGAAATGAACTTATGGTACTTATGTTTTTTAATTAAACCATAAATGTTCATAGCTGTTACTACAAAAGACATTCATGCAAACCCATGACAGATTATGAAACACTAGTGACGTACCTCATGAGTGAAAACATTACTTTTGCAATACTGTAATACAGGGGTTCTCTACCAGGGGGGAATTCAGGTTTTCAGGGGGGGAACTGATTCGGGAGCAAGAGATATGTTCGATGAGAAATCAATCACAGAATTTTGGCCCTTGATGTGCGATTCCTACCCAAAAGTGGCAGAAAGAGCTATCCGTGCATTGCTTCCGTTTGTGTCGACATATCTTTGTGAGTCAGGCTTTTCAACTCTGTTGCAAATTAAAACGAAGCAACGTAGTAGATTAAAGGTAGAAAATGACCTGCGTTGTGCCCTTTCAAGCACTCCTCTGCGTATCCCAGAATTGGCGAAGAAAAACAATCACAGGTTTCTCATTGACTGTAATCTTCATCTGAATAAAATTAATTACAAATTTACAATATCCTGGTATTCTATTGAACTTTTTGTTAACTGCATTATGCTTCAGTTTGGTCTGTTAAGTAATTCATTATAGTAAATATAAAAAAAACTATTTTACTTTTATTCAAGTTTTATAAATCCATCAACATTTTCAATTGGCATTTAATTTGTAAAACTCCACTATAAAAATAATCCATGTAAAATTGTAAATGTATATGTACTAATATGGAAAATATAAAGGATTTTCAGTATTATATGCATATTATTTGGAATGCACTTTTTGAGGCAGACAATCTTGGAAAGGAGGGGGGAATGACATTCTGACATATGGTGAAAGGGGTGCATGGAGCAAAAAAGGTTGAGAACCACTGCTGTAATACAAGAACAATATTTCAAAGAGACACTGATTACCTTTTGGAGTGACACGCTTTAAGAAGGCTGATAGGGATGCCTCATCATATTCTGAACGCTGATAGTTTTTTGGTTCTTCTTCCTCTGTCTGAATGCCAACCTGAGAAAAAAATCCATTACACATAATTTAATGCAGTATAAGAGGTCCAGAAAAATCCTGCGAGGTAAGATGATTTAAACAGAAGGGGTGCAATTTAACAGTGAACAACATAAGTCAGTCAAAGAGCAAATGACAGTCATGCGTGCCCAAAATTCTAAGCCTTGTACATAGTAAATACCTTTTTTAAATATCTCATCAATATATAAATATTCTAAGGTGTTAAAAGTGCACCAAGAAAGCTGGCAGGTGATAAGAGAGTGAGTGAGAGCCAAATAGGAAGTCAATGTTCCAAAAGGCAGTAGAGATCTAGTAACTGTATCAACCACAAATATGATATGAATAGCTGTAAAAATGTGATGGTTAGTTTACTGATTGTAAGTAGGGCAGCAGTTGAGAGACTTAAAAGAATTTCTGAAGAAAAAACAACAGTTGTTTACCTAGCAAGAGAGATATGTGGAGAAGTGTGACTGTTAGGAAGATACTACAGTACTAACAGTATGTGTAAAAGAAAAGTGGAATCACCTTAATATCAGCTCCTACAGCTTATTTCACCAAAGTTTAACTACCCTAATGCTAAACTAATTATAGATATGAACCAAACTAACCTAGGCTAAAAGTCATCTAACCTAACCTAATGCCCCTCATCCCCATGTAGTGTTTAATAATCATCATCAACGTTTTATGGCCATTTTTTACAATTACAGTACTGTACATCGGTTACTTTTCTTGTCAGGTTCTTAACTCTAATGTCATTTCTGACACCCGCTTTTCATGGAATTTTTCGCCTACCCTCACTCCCCTCCCCTCCATATTTAGACGAATGCACCTCTTGGCCCAATTGATGTCACCCATTATATATCCCCAAACCATCTAAATCTACATTACCTCTATGCAAATCTTGACTAATACTCTCAATAATTAGCAGTCCTCTTATATCTTAACAGTACTGTATTTCCTTTCTCTATCACATTACACATCCACCTCATCATTCTCATATCAGCTCACTTGAGCCTGCATATACCATCTTCTGTAACTGCCAAAGTTTCACTGCCATATAACATTACACTTCAATGCCAGTTGCATACACCTTTCCTTTCACATTGAGGGAAGGTCCCATTGCCGCCAATAAAAAAGGCAACTACTCCTTAAACTTCCTCTAGCCACTTCTGACTCTTGCAACTGAGCTGGCTTCAGCACTGAACATTTCACCTTAATAACAGAATTCATCAACACAGTCCAGGGACATATCCCCAGTGTTGAGTTTTTCAAGTCTTGTTAAGATCACATGGTTACCTGCACATTCAGAACACTTAAGAGCCAGCAACATCCTGCAGTCTGCCATCTACTCCACTGCACCTCTTGTGTACCCACCTTTCACACTCGCTGCATATTATTGAGTTGTTGCCAACACCTTTCTTACAGACAAAACAAGGTCATTTTCCACTTTTCACAGCAGGCCTCTCACCCATACCACTTTTGTTTTCGCCACTTTCACTCTCACGCTCCTTGACTCTGTTCCACTTCTCCATTTCTTAAATTTCTTCATTGTCTCTTCAATATTACCTGGTTTAAGCACTCACCATGAACATAACTTTCACCTCAAATTCTTCCCTTTCCTCACTATCTACTCTTAAAGTGGTTTTGAGCCTTCTTTTAAAGCCATAACCACTCTAATAAGGCATTAAATGATCACTTGCTCTCTCACTGCCTACTTTACTACTTCATGTTCTACCCTATCAAATAAATGCCTTCTGTAAGTCTATAATTATGAAGTACTACTATCTCCTTCTCTAAACATTTCTCTTATAGCTGCCTGTGCATAAATATTGTTTCTGTAATCCCCCAACATGACATAAACCAAAATTGCATATCATTTATATCCACTCTCTCCCTCGGTAATTTCTCAATCACTCTTTTACAAATTTCATAACCTGATCTAGGAGCTTCAGGCTCCTGTAGTTCCCTCATTCAAGTAAAAAACTTTTATCCTTGTAACTATCTACGATCACACTCTTCCACCAGTTGTTTGGAGCAGTATATTCCACCGTGATTGCCTTAGTCAATTTTGTCACCATCAACTACTGTATGTCATCTGATGCATTCAGTATTCAGCAGCAGATCCAGGAATATCAAAGGACAGGGATCCAAGAAATTGTGGGTGGGTAAACATGGCGAGCATAGTGAGCCCACCTAGCTAGGGGTTTTGAGGGGGTGTAATCCCCCCTCCCGATTTTTTTTAATCTGACCAATAACATGAGCATTTGAGGCCATTTTCAAGCTAAGTGCACTTGATATTAGAAGGCATTCTGACATCAATAGTACCTTGTAATTATTTTTTACTCTACAAAAATGCCTAAGTACAATACTGCATTAAAGAAAGGTATTGGAACTTTCTGATGAAAAGGGGAGTCCAGACCCCCAGGAGTCCCCCCAATGGATCTGCCCCTGAGTATTTCTGTCATTATCCTATAGCTTACAGCTGCCTTCCCATTTATCATTTTCTTAATTGCTTTCTTCACCCATTCACTTTTAATGTTTGAGCACGGTCCCTGTGCTGGGTACTGGTTCTGCTACTCCTAAGTTGCCTCTGTCCCATTGTACTCCTCATTCAGTAGTTGATCATAGTATTTTCTCCACACACTTTTGATTTCCTTATTATCAACAACTGCCCACCAACAACATCCTTGTTTCTACCCCACTATCTGTCTGGCTATTATGAATACCTCCCATTTGCATTTGTTTGTCAATTCCTTGTGTGATAATGTGGATTTCATGAAGATTAGGAACCCACAACAGATACAGTACTGTACTGTACTGTATAAATTACACAATGGTACATTAACATACCTCTACTTGCTCTATAACCTGGCATTCTTCCTCTTTCTTAACAATGTCGTCTGTCTGAGTACTGCCTGTCTCCAACAACCTGAAACAATACAGTGAATGTTGCAAGTTTCTATACAGTATAACAGTGGTTCTTAACTTGAGGGGGCATATTTCAATCTTTCAAGCGGGCACAAAGGACTAAAGATATTTCTGACTCAAAATATGTACTGTATTCCCAATGAAATAAATTCATATTTAAAAATTTGGCATGGCAGCATCGTGCTGTTAAAACTTGCCATTCATTAATGTAATCTGAACTTTATGTAGTATTGTCAGAAATGTCACTTTAGTTCAAGGATCCCCCCTCCCCCCAAGGATAATATGATTTTTTGGGGAGGTAAAGCATTAGTAGAAAGACGAACATAAAGATAAAAAATGAGTTACACAATCCATGCCAATGTTTGAATGCATATCAGAGCTGCAGTTGTGCTTGACTAGGATGGGGCAGTGTTACCTTAACATGGGGGGGGGGGGTTCCCACTTTATTTTAAAAATTTCTGGAAGCTTGGTAGCTACAGATATACAGTACAGTACAGTACTGTATATGGTGGTCCGTCAACTCAATCCCTCTCAACCCAATCTCTCAACCTAACCCCCTGTCAACCCAACCCGTCAACCCTGTCAACCCAACCCTCTGTCAACCCCTGTTGAAGCATGACATGACAATCCAAAATACTTAGGTTCGACTTAAGAGAGAGACCAAGAAACAATTATGGTATGTAAATCTGGCTAATCACTTTACTGCAAAAGTTGCATACTATAAAGTGAACCACACCTCGATAGATGAGTTGACAGTGCATAGTTCATCCTGAACAATGATTATATCAACTCGCTACCTCCTAGTGACGCCATATTGACTATTTATATGAGCGTGGAAAATTTCATACGGGAACATGAGAACACTTCCCACAACTGTTCTATACACATGAACAATTCCAGTGACTGATTCATACACATGAACACTCCATGAAACAGTTCAATGCACACAAACACTTCCAGTGACTTTTCCATACACACAACACTTCATGTGACCGTTCCATACATGTGAACACTTTCAGCAACTGCTTCATGCACACAAACACTTTCAGTAATTGTTGCAAAAGGCATTTAATAGTTAAGGACAGGGGTTCAGTTAACCAACTACCAAATAAAAGATATCTATAGAAGAGAACTTATTTCATACCTCAAGAATAAACCAAATCAGGTAGAGGAATTGCAATTTTACATTCTGGTTTGTCTCCTATTTTTTCATGTACAGTACTGTACGGTACTGTACAGTAGAGTACAGTATATAAAGATGCTTCATGTCTGTCATCTAGTTGACAATGCCATATTTGCATACTGTATCCACCAAATGTTGATAAATGCTTCCCAGCGACTGACCAAATAACCCTGAAGACTAAGAGACTGCAACTGACCTTCCTTCCTTTCCATACAAACCTACCTAATCAAACCTAACCTACTCTAAAATAAAAATAATAATACAGGGTATAATTCTATTCTAGAACAGGTAGGTTTTGTTAAGTTTATCTTATCTTGTCTGTCTGTCTGTCTGTCTGTCTGTCTGTGTGTGTCTCTTCTGGGCAGCCGAAACGGCACAATCGTTTTTCATCAAACTTGGTGGAAAAATCGCCAAAAATTCGTAAAGTGGAACAAACCTGGTCCCATGTCGATGGTTTCTTTAGGAAGGCATTAATTAACAATTTGCGATGGAAAACGATGCAAGTCTACGGACTTGGCGCACCCTCATTCGCTGTCACGAGTGTTCAAACTTTCACAAGGGCACGAAGGGCCCGCGATCACTTGTCATTAACTAGAACTGCTCATGTGTATGGAGAGAACTACAAAGACAATGCTGCTGCTGTTGGGAATTTTTCATGTGTATCACCAAACTAATGTTATTTATCACAAAAATATGCAAATTCTACCATTATTTGCCATGTTGTGGATATTATTGTTCTTCTTAACATGAAAGTGAAAGTGGGTCCCATAGGCATGTCTGCCCACTATTGTATACTGAACTAAGCCTCTGGTACACAAAGAGGCAGCTTGGTTGGTATGGCTCTCAACAGCCTTCACTTCCCCCAAGTTGAAAACTTAGGTACCCATTTACAGCTGGATGGACTGGAAATGCCCAGGAGGTGAGTGTTGTATCCACTCGACCGCCATGCTTCATTCTTCTTAATGTAATAAGTTATAATTTACTATCATCATCACCCAAGGTTACAACTGTTGTTTCTTAGTGAGTGTGAAATGGAATAGCATTATAAATGTATACTCCTCCTCGTGTAAATGACTGCCTGAGGTGCAACAAACAGGACGGCAACCTCCTTAGACAAGTGGTACAGAATCTTCAATTATGAGAAAACTTGGGGAAATACAGAAATTGCTACTTCTCCACTTGATTTCTTTTATTCTTGAAATAAGAAATATGTTTTCTCTATACAGTACATATTTTTTTCGTTAGTTAGCTGATTAACCTGGACCCTTATCTTTAACTATTAAACTACAGTCAGTTCTGCTATAACGTGATAGTTGTGTTCTTGTAAAACATCCTGTTATAGAAATTCGCGTAATAGAAATAACCGGGCTTATGGAGAAAATAGGGTTAGGTACAGATTACTACTCGAAATCGAAAAAAAATTAGTAGTTAGCCTAACACAAAGGATAGCACAGTCTAAATAAATGTTACATTCATATCTAATTATGAAATCATACAGTAATTGTAACACTTTACCTTGAAAAAATATGAATATAACTTGATGGGGGAGAAGGGTGATTTTGAGGTTGATAACATTGAGCTTCTCTTCAAGGGTTATAGCCTTTCTTTTATGATCATCACCGGGAATGCGATCACCAGAACGCTTCTTGGAGATATTCTTCTTTTCCATATTCACAGTTAATACCACAAAATTGGAGATCGCGTTACAGCAAACAAGCGTTTGCGTTATACAAATATCGTTCCTCTATTCATAAATCGCGTTAGAGCCAATTCGCGTTGTCAAAACACGCGTTATAGCAGAACTCACTGTACATTGTATGTATGATGTATCACAGATAAGATGAACCAACCAAACCTACCTATCCTGGGATGGAAGAATGTACATCATTCTAAGTATGGTTACATTAAGTACAGTATGATTAGATTAGCTTACATTAAGTTGGTCTGGTTAGGTAAGATACGGATGCTTGCTGTGGAGAATTTGTCAACAGTTTGAAGCAAGATCATGACGTTCTTATGTGGACAGAATGTATTTATGATAAGAACCACAGAAAATCAAAATTACAATGGCTGTAATTGCAATTCCTCCACTACTAACCTTTGTTGACATTTGACAACTGGGAACTTCCCAAAGTATCAAATACCCGGTACTTCTATATTATATAGTAGTTCATCATTCATTAAATGAACCAAAAAATTCTACATATACAGGAAATAATAATGTTTAGGCGAAGCTCAAGTTCAAGCAGATTATGTTAGGTTAGATAAGTTAGTTTGATATATTTTAGGAATGATAAATTATATAATGTAGACTTATCTTGTCGAATGTCAACAATGGGGTGTCTGAACTATGGCACCTAAGTTACCCAGAGAGATTAGAAAACCTGCAACTGATGAGCTTATAATGTAGATGGGCAAGGGGTGACTTTATTGAAGTTAATAAACATCCCAAAGGGCATTACTCAGTTGAGTGTCCATACCTGGAGCTGGTGGACGCTCACCCCACTAGGGGTCATAGGTCAAGGTTAAAGAATGAAGAAGCCACAAGTCCAGAAAATTGTGAGGGCAAACTTTTTCGGAGCGAGAGTCGTAAACTCTTGGAACAATTTGCCAGAGAAAGTTGCGACGGCACTGAGTGTGAGCTTTTTCAAGATCAGACTAGACCAACACTGGCGTAGGTACAGAGACATCCTGGAACCAGTACAGTACTTGCCAACAGTGCATAACAGAGATGTGACCGACTGCCCAAGCGGCTAACAACCCAATCAGTGGCAAAGAGGATAAAGTAAAAGTAAAGATTCTATACTCATTAAAGACATGATTACTCATTCATCTTTCCTGAGACATCCTTGAGGTAAGATGGAAGTTATCTTCTATACAAAGAAAGGTAATACTGAAGCAGATGGCAAACATCAGAAGGTGTTATTCGATCACATTATTTTTTTCCACAGATGTTCTTTGGATGATAGTAAGTACAGTAATAAAAACGATACAACAGCATTTTATTTTAATTAAAATAGTTTTATTTTTTTATTTTTTATCTATCTATGATCATTAATCACCTGTAGTGGGCAGAATATGAAGGGTGAGGGAAATTGCAGTGTAAAGAAATGGTGAAAAACTGATCATAGGACATTAAAATAATGCCTCTACTTTGCACAAGAAACAAATTGATTATTTGCCTTAAATATTCCCTCCGAAAAATCTGCCGCGTCAGCACGTGTTATCATTTGCTCTGTTTCCTTGCAACAACTGACTCACTTGGTCCGAACATAATCTTAAGTACACCAAAAATGTAAAATTACTGTAAATCAAGCTGCTTCAAGAAGGTTCCATTCATTGCTACCAGATATCATAATAAGTACAGTACTTTCTGTTTAATATGGCGGGTGTCCGGGGGACTAGGAAGTTAGGTAAGGTGAAGTGGATTTCTTTGGTTGGTTAGGTCGGGTTCTATTACGTTCTGTGCTTTGTTGTATTATTTTTATTATTTACTACTAAATCATCCGAAAAACATCTATGGAAAAAAGTAACGAAATCGAACAACACGTTCTGATGTGAGCCATCTGCTCCAGGATTCCCCAAATAAAAGATTAAGTGGCTAGTTAAAATGCTTGACCATGTTCCAGAATATTACCCTTCAGCCTATGGTGGAACACACACATGGCTACAGTTCATTTTAACGTCCCTGCCCGTTTCTATAGAGAGTTAATATTTTGCTATTTTGATTACAGATATAGGTGATGTTATCTTTCAACATTCTTGGGTAGTCATTATTTTGGAGATAATTTCGAAGGTTGGATTCGATGAAAAAATACAAAAATATCACATGAGTCTCAACATCACTTCTATATCTTCCTCCACTCTCTCCTCCCCTGCTTCAAAATGACCAATGGCACTCTAAGTTAACTTAGGTTAAGTTTAGGTTTGGTTAGGCTAGGTTAAGTTAAGTTTAAGTTTAAGTTTGGCTAGGTTAGGTTTCATTGAGCACAGAAAAATAAAATTTTATAGTGTATTTTGGTGTTCTGTTTACACCTGACCTTCACTTTCTTTGGTCAGATTTAAACAACACACTAAAATACACCAGAAAAATTAGGAATTATTTTAGTTTTGGTCATCCGGGGAATCGTAGGGGGGGGGGGGTGTGGTTAGGTCCCTTGATATATTAGGTCTTGGAAAAATTTATGTCTACATTTTCGTAACCATTCATTACCTTCTTCATGTTAATTAAGTCTCCTCTACTGCTGGTGGTTAGGTTACGTTAGATTAGTATATATATCTAAATACAGGTATAACCGAAACTAAAATATTAAAGAAAATATATCTCACTGCGAAAAACTTAGAGGAATTAAAAAAAACGAATCTTTACCCATACACATTAATACAGAACTATGGAAGAATATACACATGAATACTTACTGTTCAGTTTTCCACGTTGAGGCAAAGCTGGTAGGAACTTCACTATGCTTAGAAAACATGTCTTGATGTTGAAGTAAACGAGTAGAGTGATACTTAAGGATTATCTAATACCTTGGTGACACCTGAGCTTGACAGAAGAATCCAGATTATTAAACATTTCAACATTACCGGTAGTTCCGATCCTAAAATAAGTATAACTGTAGTAAGAACAGAAATTAACAATATCTATTCAATAATCTGTTTTACATGTGAAATATGTAGGCAAGTTACAAGGAAATAGTTAATTAATAGGAAATATTCCCTACGTGTGGGAAAATAACAGGAGACAGAAAAACGTTAAAAAACAAATATAAAATCCTCATATATTTATATTATCCTTTTCCTCACTTAATTATCAGCTTAACTTTCCATATGTGATTATTTTTAATAAAGCAGCGAGAAATTAGCTTAAAATCGTTGATCAAACAAATCTGTGATTGTCATCATCCTATTATACAAATAATTCGGTAAAAATTACCATGCACCTTAATTTAGTATATTTTTGTGGCTTATTTTTCGCAGTCAACAAACATATTATAAATGGTTGCATATATTAGTTTAATGTGAATATATAAAGATGCATGAGTATTAGGAGCTCCATCTAGGTATGGCACGCCACAATTTAAAGTTGGTAGCCAGAAACCAATGTTAACTATTCAGTTTTATTATCTCTTAATGAAAGTCTTTTTCCCGTACTTTTATATAAAATATTATAATTTATTTGATTGATGTACATTCATCGTGGTAAATATGCGTAATTGTCACGTCATAATGAGTAGCGCCTTTAGTACAGTAGTTGCCAGTTAGCCATACAGCCGGTGCGGGGTGAGTGTCCCTTGATGCCTTCATGCTTGTGTCCAGGATCCTTGACAACAATAATGACGCCAACCCAATGGCTAGCGATTCCCACAGAAATAAGACTTACAGAGTTACCCAACCTTGTGACGCCCCGGTCTGACGCCTCCGAGGCTTCCACAGTATACGTGAATGGCAAGAAGATCGTCATCAAGCAGGAGGAGTACCAGCCGCCTGGCAGTGGGGAAGACCCTAACAGTTCCACCTCTAGTGTCTACCTGTATCCCGTGGTGAGAGATAACCTCATTTATCACACTCGTGTAGTCTAGCCATTTAATTGCAGTTGAATCACTTATTTCACCATACACTTCAACTTCCTCCAGGCTGGTTTGGTTGTATCATCTTTCACTATATATTTCATTGGTTGTAGGTGTTTATTATGTTCTTTAATGATTATTATCTCTTGAACATTTAATGATTCATTCACATTGTGTCCTTGTGTGGGGTAATGAGATGGAACTCAATATTCCTCCTCGAGATGCCTTATGTTTCACAGCTTACTGTCATGATAATGTTACCTCGTGTGTCAACCTATTAGAGGTGAACTAGCATGTCAGTCATGGGATGTTTAACCAACCAAACAAACCTACCTAACTTCTTGGTGCCTATGAAAGCAACTTTGTTGAAGCGACATGGTGTAATTTTACTCGGACTGAGAAGTTGCTTGTAAACAGGTAAATTTGCATAAGCGCACCCTACTCTGTTAGAAAGTAAAAAATATATTTTTATAGTGTATTTGTGTGTGTTTAGACCGAATAGGACCTTCATTTCCGTCGGAAATTGGCCATTTTTTTTTATCGATTTTTTTTTTCGTGGGACTTTTCTGAAAAAAAAAAAGGCTAAGCGAATACAAAATACACCAAAAAATACTAGAAAAACATAAACCAAACCTAACCGACTCTCACCATATGATGGAATCGCCTATTTCTTACCGTATTGCCGTCTATTCTTTGTCTTTGGGATAAGGGACGAGTTATGACAATGCCACATATGTTGGTTTTTGCGATATTAACATTCAGTCTTGCACTTAGGACACTTTACTGAGGTCGGGAGAACACCATGCTATCGAAAAAATGCTAGTTTCTTCGTTTAAAAAAAAAAAAAATCGCAATCAGCTCCATATAATTTAAGTGACACCCATCACAGACTTCCATGGTCAGAAATGAATATGAATTTGGAAATATGAGACCCAAAATAAAAATCGATTTTGATTGGGCCAAAAATACAGCGAATTAAACCAAAATTCATTTTAATTGGTTGCAAAAAAAAACGCTTTTGATTGGCCGCGTGATGTGTACGGAAATGCATGCGCGTGATTTTTTATGAAGGAGTCATGCAGCGTGGGAGGTGAGGTAGACGATAATGGCGGAAGATCAATGGAAGAAAATAGAGAAAATTTTGGATACACTATCTCCGTTATTATACATTTGCGACGTTAATGCAATAGATGAAAATTACCTTATAATTTGACATCTTATTCGAATATGATAATAGATTAGTGGTAGGAATGTGGGGTGTGAAAATGCAATAATACCTGTAAACAAACAAACGACACGCGGTGACTTGGCAGATTTTTCAGAGGAGTATTAACGGTAAATAATTAATTCTTCCTGTACGAATCACGTAGACACATTATTTTAGTATCATGTGATCAGTTTTCACCGTGTTTTACCCCGCAATTTCCTTTATCCTCCGTGCCCTTCCCACTACAGGTGATTTATGATTGAAGATAAAGAAAAACTAAAAACTAACAAAGAACTTACAATTAAAATAAAAAGTTGTTGTCTCTTTCAAGATACTTACGATAATGATAAGAACATCTGTGGATCAAATGAAAGAAATCGAACAACTCCTTCTGGTGGTAGCGGTGTTCTCATAAATTACCATTATTTTATATTTTGTATGTTCTTTTATTTCTGAGTTAGCCATCTTAACCTCAAAAGGGAAAGTTGGGATTACATGAAGTTTACCCACACACACTTACTTCAACTCAAAGATTAACAACTGAAAATGCAAACTTAACCTAACCCCCAGGTAGAATTAGGTGTTTAATCATTAGGTGAGTTAAGTTGGGGGGTACTAATCTTCAAGTGATCCTAAATTTGTAATCGTTGTGTCTACATCTTCTAAATGGGTTATGTAAAATTACATTACAGTACATATCAAAATTATCACAATTCTGGATTTTTGTTACAACTCACCGTACAGTTCAAGAGAAATGGGTGATTTTTATGAGACCTAATGCCGACTGAAGAATAATATATACTGTACAATATAGGCTTATCATAATCTGAAATTAAAATATAGCTATACAATATAATATTTTTGATTTATTTATTTTCCTGTTAATCCCTACTGTGTACTGTAGTAAAGCATTGTGCTGTGATGCTGTGGTAGTACAATACTGGATGAGAGTGGTCCATCCTTACTAACAACTTGGTGATTTCTATATATAAACTCATAATGAAGAGAATTGGTGTAAAAAATTGGCTCTTGCACATGATTGAGTCACCAAACTTTAAAAAATTCGCCAAAAATTTAGTTTTCAACAGAATTGTATCAAATTTGGATGGGTCATAGTAGCAAGTAAGTTCTATCAAATAAACTAATTAGCAACCCTCGAGGCCCATAAGAAAGGAAGATGGAACAATAAATGCACAGTATTATCTCAGCAGTCAGACTGCGAGTGTGAGCCGTGTCCATTTAAATTTCCATAACTCTGTGTGGGATTACAGTGCTTACCCTACTCCCTGAAATAATTTATTTATTGTTAGAGAAGTGAAGTCGTGGTTGTGTAATGTAATATTTTTTCATATTTACAGGGAAAGTGTTTAGTTTTCAAAAGCTGTAACCGTATCAGGCTAAACAACCTCATTAAAATGACAATGTCTCAAAAAAAGTCTCTCAAAGAGGATGATTTTCTAGACTTACTTGAATTTTGTCAGTACAGGTACCATCCTCTTTGTTATAGTGTTGGCTACAAGATGCAATATAATTTATATCGATATAAAACATTGGCACAAAAATAATCGAAAAAGATTAAAAACATTTGAGAATCATTTTTTTTTTCTCAAAAACTATTGGTCATATCAGAGATCTGATTTGCATTGGAAAGCTCATAAAATTCCGGTTTTAGCAATGCATAGTACTTAAAAATTTGGCTCTAACAATTTTGAGCTCGGAGGTTGTGAACATATTGGTGTGTATTTGTTTTCTCATGCTTATTAGAAGTGATGAAAAATAGCTATGTACTTGTATTAATCTTTGGGGGGGGGGCTTATGTTGTAGAGCAATCAGTTACGAAGCCAAGGATATGTGGTTTATGTCAATAAAAACAAGTTTTGGGGGAATTTCATAAAGCAAAAAATAAATAAAAATATTCACCGTGCTCTGTCTCGCCTGCCCTGGGGGCCTCGGAGATGTGATCTTGGAACTGCATTGACCAGTAAATAACCATCAGTGCAGGAACAGTATAGTACTCTTGGGAATGCTGCCACACTACAGAAGCTTCATACTCACATGGGATTTCTAAAACCTGAAAATATTGCTTGTGTATTTAGAATAAGTTCCTAATTTGTCTTTTTCATTAATGTGAAATTTTGGAAACCAAAAGTTTGTAAATACTAAAGGAATAGGTGTACAGTATTGTACAATATCTATAAAACGGCGTCCGGTCAATTCGTCGTCAGTCACGCCAGTCCTGGCCAACCTATTCAGGATCTTTAAAACAGGAAAGTCAAAAGCCAGGGATTTCCAAGGGTGATAAACAACCAGAAGAGAGGTTATATCTTTACTCGGACAATCAAGAAATAATCGCAAGATAACACGGTCACTACTCAACAAAATATAGCCAGAAATAGATAACACAAGGCACTCTATGAATGTTAGGTTAAGCTAGGTTCAAATTGTAAACCATTCATATTAAATTTGCCGATAACGAGTTGACCCGCGACAAATTGTCCTAGCACCCTATAAAACTTGTCTTTTTCTGTAGACAAATCTTTTCTTACGCCTTGTAGACATTTCCAACAGTAGCTGTCATTCAGTCTATCTGACTGCTGTAACTGATGAGTTTTCCATATAATTACTGTATGGTGTTTTATGTTTTCAGGGAAACAGTCTGTTGGCAACTACTCCAGAGGCTGTGCAGAAACTGGAATTTGAATGTTCGTCTTCTCCTGGATTGAAGTGTCTTGCAAGTACCACATCTGCATCAACAGAAGTAATTATTGTCAAGTCAAAACCAAAAAATCCAGATTATAAGGTACAGTATTTACCAAATTTAAAAATTTGGCTCAAATCTTTATATAATTGATATTTAGTAGTTTCTGCCCATATTTTACTTGTAGATTCTGTTAGCATGGGATGGGGTACAGTGAGTACATGTAGTTAAAAATAATTTTGGGAAAAGGTGTTATTTCCATTTTAGGCTGACCTGTACTGTACTGTATTCTATTGTTTTTTCTTTCTGTAATTTGTTAAAAATACAGTATACAGTACAGTGCAGGATACTAATGATAAACATCATCGTTATGAAAGCAATGAACTTATTTTTATTACAGGTTAAAAACAGTACCCTTGCGACCAAACGAAGTAAACCAGTGCATTTTAAATTGATTAGAGGAAAACCTGGGGTTAAAGTGTTCATTAACATGTCTTACCATGGCCACATATATGGTGATGAACCTGTCAAGAGATGTAAGAAGCATGACGAGTGTACCTGGTGTAAGGAACATGATTACAACCAATGTTTTTGTGTCATAAGCAAATTCCACAAATATGAACTTGATCATAAGGGCCAGCCCAGAGCAGTGATCACCGTCACGGAGGAGCATCTGGACATTGAGGGAAGTGCCGAGTTTTCCATTGTATTTTCCTGCTGGAATTCATGTGACAGTCACAGCAAATTTGGCAAAGAATTAAACCTACAGATACAAATTTTTGACGGGTAAGTTAATAAAGAGAATAGTTTTTAATATTGTAACTGTGTTGTGTATTCTTGTCACAGTAATGGTATCAAGTTTTATTTTTTATTTGAACTGATGAAGGAATAGGTCAGTGCAGACAAGTCCCCTAAAAGCCATTTTCACTTTGACACTAAGTACAGTACAGTATAGTAGAGAAAAGTGTCTATCAGTTGTAATGTTTGAGATGAAGAAGCTTCTGTAAAGTGGATAAATATGTGAACTTGTGTCCAAGGAATGCATATAATAAATCCTAGTGCAGGTACGAGTATCAGCTTCTGCAAATACGTGTACCATACACTAACTTACTTAATTTTTTTCTAGCATCCTCAATGTTATTTAGTCTACAAGTAAGCTTTCATTGTGTCATTATTCTCCTACAATCACCATAAAACTCACTCCTCTAACTCTTGAGGACAATTGACTCATTTCTCACACAGTCACTTTAACCAGTTGTCTTATTGTACAATTTCACCTCATTTTCTCTCATGTAATATAATAAGTGGAAATTAAATGAAAGAAAATGATTCTATACAGTATGATACTTAAATTATTCTATATTATGTACTTATATTTCATTTTTAGAAACTCAAACATTTTGTAAAGTAGATTTTATAAAATAGATTTTCATTTGACATTTACTTTAGTGTTTTATTTTATATTAAATTTACAAAGCAGTATTTTTTATGCAATATGATAACTTTTGCTTTTCTGTGAGAGCTCTTGGTAGACATTGCTTGTACAGTACAGTATATATTTTATAAGGTTCTTGGACCGTGTACTTAATTATCACATTGATAGTTTCAGTCCGATTAGAAGTACTGAATACTCCATACATTGCTGCCAAAATCTGCTGAGAGATGCTTTTAAAGACAAGACGAGAAACACATACCCATCAGCCACTAAACGCAAACAGCTATCGGTACCAGAGAACAATCATGAGGTATGTATTTACAGTATTATGCTTTACAGTATATCATAAGCCCTATTATTAGTACTGTACTGTATACAGCATGTAATAGTATCAGCTTTATTGCTTGCTGGAATACATCCCAATTGGATTTTATAAAAAATAAATAAAAATAAATCTCGGTGTCCTTTGATTTGGTCATTCAGGCAATTGAATTCTGGCACCTTGGTCAAGGTTTTCACCAAGTGCTAAGACTGGGAATGGTCTACATGATGGTACTGTAGATTAGTGAGAATAAGATTAACTATTGACTCCTAAGTTGTAAAGTGAATGAAAATTATGTTTAAAAAGTTTAATTTAAGTTGGGATGATATTTTTCTATTATCAGATCAATGAAGATTTTGTTCCAGAAACAATTTGAGCCACCTATGCCCCTGACCAGCTAGTACAGTATGTTCTGGACCTAAACTAAAAATAACCAACCTTAATCCAAGGGAATAAGCTGGCTTATGCTAGATGGTACCTGTAATCTGTTTAAAGTTTCCTGATGGGCTGATGCTTAATGGCAGGAGAAAGGAATATTGTACTGTACTACAGCTCTTCCTAATTTCAATAATATATCTTCATATTTATAAGTTATTTCATTGCCAACCTCTTATTTTCATCTAAAATACATTTATAACCCCAGGGGACAAGAAAACCGAGTCTCTCAATATGTCAGTGATGAAAATAATTTGGTTGAAAAAGAGAAGGGTTATGATCTACGTGGCATAACTAGTTAATTCCACCTGTGGGCCCTGGGGTACACCCAATCATGGCTTACCAAGCCCGATTTTGCGAAGTTAAAAGTTTGAGATATTGATATAAAATTTTTTTGGATATTTGTACTGTGTATATCTTTATAACTTGGCTGGGACCCAGTTCATAACAACACTCAGAATGTTATTGGCTGGAAAGGAGAACTCTAGGATAGGATTTCCATGGGCAGTAAACATATTTAGTTGACACACCTTTGTAGCTCACTGTTTGGCAAGGCCATAGATTTTTAAATGCATGATGGTAAAAAAAAATTTTGTGCGTACTGTGAATGTGGTAATTGTTATATATCTACCAGTGTTACAGTGGGGTAAATTCATTTCTGAATTGTATTTACCCTTCATCTTAAATTGCTAGTTATAAGTGTTGAATTAATTATTACTTATTATTACAGTGTTGAATTAACAACTACAGGGTATTTCAATTTTCTTTTGCTGTAATTTTTAACAAGGTTAAATTTTTTTTATTACTTATAGGTATTACAAAGTACAGCATTGTTTTAAAGAAAGAGTTCCAGTCAGTTCTCCCCATTTCCTAAACTGTAGGGGCAGAATGTCATTGTGAAAAGTTTTTGCCCACTAACACACCTTTTGAACAAACTAATTAAAATTGACATTTTCTTTCCATATTTTAGGGTTCAATAAAGACTCCATGCAAGACGGGAATAGAAACTCGCTTTGGTGATACTGACTTTTCAAATAACAAAACGGAAAGGCCGGTGGATTTAGTAGTTGTAAGTAAAGTGGTATTTTGTTGTCGAGTGCTACTCCAGTCATATACTGTAGTATTCCATGAAATTTCCTTCCCATTAGTGTGGCTGTTATGTGTTTTTCATCAATCTGCGCTGTACAGAACTTCAATTATGGTAATATGGCCAGTTAAGGGTGGTCTTCATTAATTAATAATGTTGTTGTTACATTAGATTTATATGTTGTTGAAGTCAGTACAGTATGCATGGATGACCTTTAATTTAGGGTCAACACTCTTCACAGGAAGCTATGAAGAGATGTTGCCCTACACTCAGAGTAGAAAAGTCACAAGGTCTTACGATGTTTACTTGTAATGCCTTTTGAATGTTTACAGGTGATTATGTGATAAATACTGATATTAATATAATTTACATGAATTTTATACTTATAAATTCGTTTCTAATCAGAATAAAGTTGTTATTGGATAATTTGGTTGTTTTTTACATGAATATATCATTGGTTTTGAAAATGTACTTCTTTTTACCCACTCAGGTTAAACAATTTGATAACTAGGAGGTGGAAAAGCAGTTAAGCATTATGTTGACTCATTTTCATGTTCACCTACTGTACACTTTGTATACAGTAGTCTTGTCCATGTGAAAACTATGTTATTTATGATCAGAGCCACCACTCTTAAGTCTCTCACACTAATCTTCCCTTTCCTTCTAATCTCTGGTGTATGGATGAACTATAACCTCACAAAACAGCCATCTCATCTTGCTTCTGACAGTGATGACAAGATGTTTACCTCTCCTCCCAGTCATTTAAGGATCCTACAGTTCTACAAGAAAGTGGGATTCCAAGTAACAACATCCATTTCACTTCAAAAACCTTTTCTTTTAGAATTGAATGATCTGGATGTGGTTGTAAGGATGGCAGTGTAACACCTCTGCTAGGTAATCTGGCCTCAGATCATAAATGGGATTCCAGGATTAATCCCTTATTTTTTGCTGTATATAACGCTACTTGTTTTGATTTAGAAATTTTAATTGTATTATTTTTCACACAGTTTTAGTGACCAGTCCTACTCAGATGTCGTAAATTGGGATCATTATAACACGGAGTTCAATGGGATACGTTGTCAGCTATTCTGACACCCACATGTATCATCGAAAATTAAATTCCAAAATTCTTACTCTAATAATATACCTACAACACAATTAAACAACACTCACCACATGATTAATAACAAGCCTGGTCATCATCACATGTCCCTTTAAGGCTAAGGGGACTCTTGAAGGTGGAGTGGAGACATCACTGACTCCCACACAGCTTCACAATGTCAAGCTGTACCTCTAGAGAATCAAGTTTTCCTGGGGACCTTGGCCTTCCCAGACATTTTCAAAGTTACACTGCTCACTTCACAGTCACAAAAACAGAGTACAAAGTGAATATTAGTGATGACCTCTCACTGGAAGGTAAAAAATAAATAAAAATAATAAGTAACAACACCGATATTGACCAAAAATCTTTGAGTTACACGATCATGGGTGTGTGCGATCACCATGGGACAAAACTTGGGACTGTAGTGCACCAGATGCAAGCATAGTGGTGTGCGGGTAGACCACAACTGACAAGTGCAGCGAGAGATGCATTTCATAGTCCACGCGTCAGCGATTTTGGGCGGACAATGACCATCGTTCATGCGAACTTTTTTTTAATTGTAAGTAGGGGGGGTTGATCTGAATACATCACCATTGTTCAAGTGAAATATCGTAGATAGGGAGATTGTGAATCAGGGGATACCTGTATGCAGTACAGTATGTCTCATTTTAAAATTAGCGAGTTTAATTGTACTTTTTTTTTTTTTTTACCTTATTAGACTTTTGCATGTACTATCATGGACAAAAGTTCGCTCCTTCCCAAACTGAAGCAGTATCGACCCACACCCGCACCAGATAACAATCAGGGTAAGTCAGTTCGGAGATTCATTCCCGTGTCTCAATTTCACTACAGGGAGCGAACTTTTGTCCACGATAGTACACCATGTTCTACCTAGGATATTTTTTAGGTTATTAAATTTTAAAATTGGTCATATAAATTATGGTTACAATGTATAATGTCAATAGGTAAGTGATATACTGTACAGAAATTCCTAGCTGTGGAGAGGTATCTACTGAGGAGGAGCTGTACAGTAAGATCAGTGGTTGGTTGGTATTGTCAAGGTCACAGGGATGCCTCATTAAGAGAGGAGAGGAATGGTTGATAAAATAAGTGGTAAAATTGTTTCAACATGCTAGTGTATACAGAGCAGATAGGATAAAGATGAATGGAAACTTAAGTACAGTACACTTATCCCCAATTTACAATGGGATTACATTCCTGAAAACCCATCGCTAGTTGAAATATCATAAATTGGGACATTATAAAATGGGGTTCAGTGAGATATGTTCTCAACCAGTTGGACACCCACAGTCCCACATATATCAAAGTCCCACAACACTCACCACATCATGAAAAACAAGCCTGATTGACATTAGATGTCCCCTTCAATGGTAAGGGGACTCTAGAAGGTAGAGTGGAGACATCACTGACTCCCACACAGTTTTACAATGACAAGTTTTACCTCCAGAGACACCATATTCCTGGGTGCCTTGGCATTCCCAAACATTTTCAAAGTCACACAGCACACTTCAGTCACAAAAACAGAACAAAAGCACTTGTCACAATGTGAACATTAATGATGCCCTCTCACTGTAAGGTAAAAGAAAAAGATAAGTAACGACACCAATACTGACCAATAATCATAGTTATATGATCACGGCCATGTGGAATCACCTTGGAACAGAGCTTGGTACTGTACTGCACCGGGTGGCTGTTTGGTGGTGCTCGGGTAGACCACAGCTGACAATTGAAGTGAGAGATGGGTTCCATATTCCGCGCTGGCTCAGACGATGACCATAGTTCACGGGAATAGTTTACATCGTAAATATGGGGATGGTCTTAATACATCACAATCATAAGAGCAGAATATTGTAAATTGGGGGATACCTGAACTGCTGTATGTCAATAATTACAAGAGGAGAGGGAGACCCCAAAGTGGAAAGAAAGGAGAAGAATGTAATCCTAAATGGTGGTTGAATATAAAGAGAATCTAGAACTAAGAAGAGTCAGAGGGTACTGGAGGAGACTACAGTATCATAACTGTCATGCCTGATGGTGATGGATGACTTTTAGTTTACAGTTCTATAAATGTATAGCACCGCAGACGTTATTGTAATTTATTGTTCCTTCAATAAAATCAAGTAGTATTATGCCATCTTCAAGAACAAATAAGAAAATATATTCAGTGAATTGGGGGGGGGGGTGATAGTTGATGCCAAGGTCTAGTGCTTATTTATTTATGTCCTTAAGAGTGACTTAAAGTTTTTCTCTTATAAAATGTCACTAAACTGACCTGGGAGAATATAATTTACATTGCTGGGATTCTTATAAGAGTGATTAATTTGAATATAATCATGCTATAGTTTGCACTAGACAAAACATTTAGTAATCATTTAGTACATTGTACAGTACAGCTTTGCCCTTAGGACAGTGTAGTGTGCCCAGAGAAACATTAGGCGCGAATTTTAAAATATGATGCGCCAGATTGACTCATGCAAAATAGGAAAGATTCGCTTTAAATTAAAACATTGTCTTTACCCTAATTATGGATGTCACTTTAAATCGATAATCTTAAATTGAATCGTTTTAAATCGATGTTCTACTGTACAGTTTGACAAATCAATTTTATGCATATTGCAGTATGAATACTGAACATTACCATGATATGAATATTGGCAATTTCTGGTGGGTTATGTAAATAAAAGGAAAGAAAATTGAGTGACTTTACATTAGAAATTAACCCCCCAGGCACTGGGGGTAGGGTATATTCCCGAGAATTTCAAAATTAATTAAAACAATTCTAATCTTGCAAACTGGTCATGCATGATATAAACAGTTTAGAAATACATGTACTTATCACAGGTTGATAACACAGGGGCTATGAAGAGATGAGAATGTGTTTGATGCAGTGGGGTGAAGTTGGCAGTAGGAGGTAAACAACACTAATTGTAGGCAGTCTGAAGTACAGGACACTTGTTTTATTATATTATTACTATACAAATATTATTACTAGCTCCAGTAATTGAGCTTAGGGGTATGGGGTACAAATGTAGTGAGCTTATGAAGTTCAAGGACACGATCTCTACATCACAAAAACTGAAAAGCCACTGAGAACGGAGGATGAGACCTTGGATGCGAGTGAAAGATAAACACGTACTTAGCAACATAATCTAGCCAAGGCCACGTGGCAATTCAAACAGTACCACAAAATTACAAAACGTCATATGACTTTAACCGAAGCTTAGTTCGACACTAGCACATTGTGGGTGTAACGTTTATGTTTAGAATTATGTAAACTGTATATCCTACCTTTGGTAATTCTTATTCAACTATGGTTAGGGTGCCTGTCATAATTTATGTACAGTTTTCGTAGAGGTACATTAACCTAAACACTTCATGGCGTCTCGCATCTTCCACCTATTATGTGTTCAGACACTCCTCAATTTACCAAATTTTAGTTATGTTCCTGAAACCATTATGAAATTTTTTTTTTACGTAAGTTGACATTGATTCAGTAACCTTAAGATGGTAGCCCACCTACTGAATGTAATATACACAATACCTAGCGTAAGTGAAGGAAACCTTTAAGGTGTAAGTAACTACAGTACAGTATATTATCATCCTGTATGTGTTGAATTGAAATGCAATAAACAATATAGTATTAACTGATAATAGAAGGTTTATGGAACATTTACAATACAGTGCAGTATTAGCACATTACCTTAATTCCTGGTGTTGACTTCCTAATTTGAAGGGATGGCAGTGTGATGATAATGTTACTACACTGCAGAGGTAAGAGGGGGAGAAGAGGAAAGGACTGCAAACTCCTCCATAGGGTCATCAGGTTCAAGTTTTAAGAGTGAGGCACGGACATTGAAGGATCAGGAGTTGGAGGTTCATAAGCACAAGCAATACGGAGTTTGCCCATACGTAATGCTACATAACAAATCTACTCATCTCAGATACTTATATTATTTTCAATAGGACTTATGTGTAGTCAAATTTATGTAACTTCTACACAGCTCCTCCCCGACTTACGACGGGGTTAGGGACCGACATACAGGTCGTAAGTCGGAAATGCTTAAATAATACATAAAAAATCTAAAATGGGTGTCTCTTTTTTCTTCTCAGCACCACAAAACACTCACGTTTAAGCTTCCCAGCCATTTTAAAGTGAATTACAAATGGAAATTTTGTCTGTGTACTGACTTTGGGACTCGAAAATACGTAATTTGACCAAATTTTGGTACGACTGAGGCAGATTGGGAAAACAGCTTAGAAGTGTATAAATCATCATGTGTCACAGAAAGACTTCTGGTTGAAGCAAATTTGATTTGAGAATTGAGTTCTATAAACCTTATTGATGGTCAGTACAAAACTGATAAGTTACACAATTTTGTCAGTGGCCCAAAGTTAAAAATGCTTTGAAAGCATTCGAGTTAGATGTAGGAAAGATGATTAATGGGTCCCATATTTTTTACCTGACTTAACATGACTAGTTACGTCGCCCTTTCTTTTAAGCTCCTTTTGTGTGTGGTGTTGGTGTGTGGATTAGTGGATGTCATGTTTATAACCTGACCTCATGTTTAGTAAGGTCACCCTGTGTACTTAAGCCTCTCTCGGTCCTTGTAATTCACTTGCCTCTGAAGATGTCTTGAATAAAGACGAAAGCTAAGGTGCTCCATTGTTTCCCTTTTTCCTGTGTAATTATATATATATATATATATATATATATATATATATATATATATATATATATATATATATATATATATATATATATATATATACAGTGACCCCTCGTTTAACGAATGCCTCGGTTAACGAAATTTCGGTTAACGAACTGCCTTCCATAAGGATCTTCAATTCGGTTAACGAACAAAAATTCGGTTAACGAATTTCTTACGAACCGACCTCAACATGTTTTCGCTTGCACTGACCGGGCAACCAGCTTTAGTATCAGTCCGCCAATACATTAATCGGGTTCTAGGGCTTAAATTCCTTACTATTTTAGTAAATATCAAGTTTATACTATTCAATAATTTTAAAAGTTTAATATTCAATTTTTTAGTCATTTTAACAATTATTGAACATAACTGAAGGTAAAGTGACTAGTTTAATGCACGCCATCCAGCCTCTTAACACAGCAAACAGGCGTTAGTCTCTCTCTGTTTTCACTGGAGGTAACATCTTGCTTGAGACTCTCTTCAACTAAACGCTTTTTTTCTGTGTTTCCAAGCAAATTATTGGTCATTTTGAAATTTATTTTACATATTGACAATATATAATGCAGTGCAGTGTTGATTTAAAGAAAATAATCTTGAAATACACCAAGAGAACTAAAATTTTATGGGTGAAATGGTGCCATGGGGTGACTTCTCTTCCACCCCAATGCCTTCTCTTCTCCCTTCTCCTCCTCCATCTCCCACTTCAAATGCACATCATCATCATCATCCAGGAGCCTTCTACATACACACCTCAAAGTAAGTGAACTTTTCTACCATTTTTGTTTTAATTTAGGAAATTTTCAGTGAGCTGGAACCAATTACCCAAAAACCCATTGAAACAATGGTTTCAGTTAACGAACTTTTCGGTTAACGAACGACCTTCTGGAACGGATTGAGTTCGTTAACCGAGGGGTCACTGTATATATATATATATATATATATATATCGGTGAAATTCCTGAGAAACCCATCACAAGTCGGAATATCGTAAATTGGGATCATCATAACGTGGGGTTCAATGGAATAGGTTCCTGGCCAGTTGGACACTCGCATGTATCATCGAAAACCCAATTCCTACAGTACTTCTATCGGTACAAAACAAACAACACTCACCACATCATTAAGGACAAGTCTGGTCGTCATCACATGTCCCCTTCCAGGCTAAGGAGAATCTTAAGGTGGAGTGGAGACATCAAACTGAGTCCCACACAGACACTGGGGGAGTCTGAAGAGTGGGGACAGGAGGAGTAGCCTTCGTCAAAGCCTTAAAGATGGTGAGCAAAATGCTTGTCAGACATTTTCAATGCAGTTCAGTCACAAAAACCCGATAATAATGATGGGGACTCGATTCTTTTATGAGAAACGTAAGAAATGTTGCGATGGAGGTGTGGCAGGGGATTAATGGGTCTCATGTTACTGACCTGATCAATGTCAAATCGAGGTGGGGTGGGGGATTAGTGGTCTCGTATTACTGACCTTCTAATGCAATGTCAGATCACTCATTGTCAGGGTGAGGGATCAGAGCGAAAGTATCTCACAGTCACCAAACAGGGAAAGCATTTCACAGTCACCAAAACATAGTACACTGAATTTTATTGATGTTCTTTCACTGTACGGTAAAAAATACAAAACACCGATGATGAACAATAAACACTGAGCTCCATTTCTTACACACATGTAACCAAAAACTGCCTGGACTGTATTTCATCAGATGGCATTCGTGTGGATGACACCTTAGCTGACAAATAAAGTGAGTGATGCGTTCCATATTCCGAGTTGGTAGGGTGAATGTTGTCAATGCGGGTTTATTTACATCAATTACATCGCAATTAGGGGGGTTGTCTTAATATATATATATGCATCATAAGTGCAAATTATCAAAGATGGGGACATCATAAATAGAGGTTTACCTATATAGTATATTAAACAAGGGATACCTGTACAAAGAAAGTGCAACTAACAATTCTTTAGATAAGACACAAATAGGGCAGATCTAATAGACACTTTCAATGTCTTGAAAGGGATGGAAAGGAAAGAGAATATGTTCCCAGTCCATTTTATAGTGATGTCAATCACCACACACAGGGACATAACTTTAAGTTCACCAAAATGAATACAGTACAGTCTTTCCTCGACTTACGACAACCTGGACATACGACGTCCATGGTCGTATAAAATATTTTTCAAATTACATATTTTCGAGTCCCGACGTTAGTGATCGTGCTGTGTACTGACAAAATTTTCGTTTGTAATTCCCTTTAAAATGGCTTGCAAGCGTAAAAGTGAGAGTTCTCGTGCCGAGAAGAAAAAGAGACACCCATTTTTGAATTTCTATGTATTATCTTCGCCTTTTCGACTAACGACCTGGTTGTCGGGACGGAACCCCGTCGTAAGTTGAGGAGAGACTGTATATGAAAATACCTCTGTACACACACACAGTCGTAGACCTATAGAACAATCTACCAACCCAAGCTGTGGAATGAAGTATAGTACTGGGCTTCAAAATAACCCTTGAAGACTATCAAGAATGACAATAGGGTCTTACAGAGGCACCAGTATTTTTTCCCTTTGCATGGCAACCTGTAGTTTGGGTGGCCATTAGGTAAATAAGGTAAAAGGTTACTAAAGTGTGTTTCTTCTCAGCTGAGAAGAGATGCCCTGCCTCCTCCTCAAGAGTTACAGCTGATTGGCTGTTGCAAATCTGTCCGATTTTGTCCTGAAGTAATGATTTATTTCTAAATGAGTTTATTCATAATCGTTGGGATGACCTTTTCTGATGAGAAAGATATTTAGCTAAATTATATAAGATACATACATTCATTATTTCAAACAAGAGCACTTAGGAAGTTTGTGAGAAATCTTATACATGAAGTAACTGTTAAACTCTGTTAACAAATTCACGCTTTCGGAGGACAATAAGATTTCTCACAAACTTCCTAGGTGCTCGTATTTGAAATAATGAATGTATATATCTTGTATAGTAATTTAGCTAAATATCTTTCTCGTCAGAAACGGTCACCCCAACAATTACGAATAAACTCGTTTAAAAATACATCATTACTTCAGGATGAAATCGCACAGATTTGCAACAGCCAATCAGCTGTAACTTTTGAGGGGGGGGGGGTCATCTCTTCTCAGCTGGGAGAAAACACACTATAGATGGTTTACATAGGTATAGTGGATACAGCCTTGACTCCTCTTAATGGTTATTGGTTCAAGTCAAGGTCACCCACATGTAAATGGGTAAGATGTTGCCATCCTGTGTGCCGAAGACTCGGTGTATAGTGTGTGCTGAAGACTCGGTGTATAGTGTGTGCCGAAGACTCGGTGTATAGTGTGTGCCAAAGACTCGGTGTATAGTGTGTGCCGAAGACTCGGTGTATAGTGTGTGCTGAAGACTCGGTGTATAGTGTGTGCTGAAGACTCGGTGTATAGTGTGTGCCGAAGACTCGGTGTATAGTGTGTGCCGAAGACTCAGTGTATAGTGTGTGCCGAAGACTCGGTGTATAGTGTGTGCCGAAGACTCAGTGTATAGTGTGTGCCGAAGACTCAGTGTATAGTGTGTGCCGAAGACTCGGTGTATAGTGTGTGCCGAAGACTCGGTGTATAGTGTGTGCCGAAGACTCGGTGTATAGTGTTATATTCTCACAATTACCAACAGACTGTCAGGTTTTTGGGACCAACTTCCGCTTTATTTACTGTAAATTAAATGTTGTTTTTCTTTTTATTTCCTGTATTTATGGTCAAGTACTGTAACTGAATTGCCATTTATTTTCTTAATAGTAATATCAATAAATTTCCTTGCAGGAAGGACTTGATGCTGAAAGAAGAGACATAATTGAGCGTATGGTAAAGATTATGGGCGGGTCATCATTTCCAATTCCACATTTGACAAGATTAAGAGATAGTGATGCCAGTGACAAAGAAGAACACCAAAGTACTTTAAACTAAAGTGAAAAAATTTTCTAGTCTCAATGATGAAGTTTTTCATCCTGCTACATGAATGATGCCCCAAAGCTGCTGCTGGGGTCACTCTCCAACACAAGTGTTGTGAATACTTGAGTGGATGTGATTTGTTTCCAGATTGTGAGCCATGTCTGATGTTCTCATTCATACACAGAATTTAAAAATTCAGATTTAGTTAATACAGTATATGAAAATTAAAAATTTTAAAATAAATTTTATACACCAAATATTGAAATGTACAAAATTATCCTGTGTTCAAGCAATACTCCCAGTTAAACAAAGGTCATTGGAAATTTTAACCAAGTTTATATAATACTGGTTTGCAGTGTAAATGCTGGCCAGTTTTGGAGGAAGCAAATAGGAGCAGCTGAGGGTTGTACAGGTACTGTATTTGTATTCGTGTAAATATACTTACAATATGTATCTATGCAGAAAAAGTTTTTTTAATGTATATTCAGTAAGGGAAGTGTTACTGGTATGGGTTATCAGGATATAGGAACAGAAGGGAAAAACATATCTTTATGGGATGTAACTTGATGCTTTACTGAGCTCAGATGGTTCAGTCATGTGGCATCACTTTAAATGTTACTGATCTTGCTAACACATTTCATTCACCGAGATGATCACATTGGATCTAAGCTATTAATTTGAAGTCAAATTTTACTCAAGAGGGATGAGAATGTTTTACTAGCTATTCAAGGGGCATTAGGTTACCTTTTCAATATAAATAAAATTCATATATCAAATTGTCAATGAAAAAGGAACTCTTTTTGTACCCTTGCTTTTTAGTCAGCATTCCACATGTGAATCTTTAAGTTATGTGTAGGCTTCATCATCCCGACAGATTGATTAATTTTTTTACTGTACTTTCATAGTGCATGGTAATCACTAACTCAGGAACACCTTGGTACAATTTCATATGTAATCATGACCTCAGGAATATTTACAAGCAAATTGTGTGAAATACATGTACAGGTTGACAACCCTATATCCGAAATTCCAAAAGGTTCTGAAAACCGAAAGTTTTTTTGTGGAGCATTTTTTTTTTTTTTTTTTTTTTATTAGCCCACTCGGGCACAGGTCACTCACCCACATCGGGGCCTGGGGGGTGAAAATGTAATAGTAATAATAATGATAATACAGTAATAATAATAATTATTCATAGTAAATAAAAAATTTAATAAAAAATACACAAAAATAAAATAAGAATGATAATAATAATAATAACAACAATAATACTGTAATAATAAAATAATAATAATAATAAAGAAATACAAGAGTGAAAAAAGATCAAAAGTAGGAAAGACCTAGACCTATGAATTATTATTATTATACTTTAGCCCCCATGCCCCAATGTGGGTCAGTGGCCTGTGCCCGGGTGGGCTGATCCCTGTAAAAAAAAAAACCTAACCATTCTGAAAACCGAAAAATTCCAAAAACCGAAATGCATCTGGTCCCAAGGATTTCGGATAAGGGATTGTCAACCTGTATGTGAATTGGGTTCCATGTCATATTCTGCAAACATCAAAATCACTTGACAGTAATTGGGTCAGGTAGGAAGTTACAATTTGTATTTCACACATTTAATTTTCAAGTTCATGCATAAAGGCAGGTAACCAACAACCAAGTTTTTTTTTTTTTTTTTTTACTAAGCATAAGACATGCTTTCCATTTTGCATCAAAGATTTCCAAATATTAGGAGTTATCATAAATTCAGGAAGGGGCTACACCAAAACTACAGGTCGTTGTAATTTTCAGTGTTGGCGTGTCAAAACTATGATTTTTTAAAGTAACGCAGCAATATTGCTGGTCAAATCAGATTATAGTGGTAAGTTCTATATTGTAGTCTAAATTTGGGATACATGTTTAAATTATTCTTAAAATTACTATGCCAGTTTTTAAATAACAGCTGAACTGAGAACATGTAAATTATTTGCTTACTTAACCTGTGTTACATTTTAAATGTTTGAGTAACTTGCTAATCAGATTGTTATTTATTACCAATTTAATGCATATAACAACAGTTCAGTCTTATTAGAATGGGCATCACATCTTGAATGACAATTACCTTAAAGTGCCTCGAGTGTTGACAGTGTTGCAACAACACTTTCAACATTTAACTATTTTACACAGCTGAAAGAAACATGCAAAGTGTTATGTTAGGATGTCTAATGTACATTTTAAATGCAGCAAAATGTAGGTTGAATACTACGTATTACTTCTGCATTATTTGATAAATCCATTATACATTTACAAAAATGAAATTTATAGTTTACATTTATTTTGAAATTTATTCTACCTAATTATGAAGAATAACTTTTCTGTGCTCTTAAATCTGCATGATTTTTATTCTACAGTACAGTACTGTATTAAGAAATCTGTGCATACAATAATTGGTTCTCTATGTGCTTGTGTAAGAGTGGAGAAAAAATTATTAACTAAATGCACTTATTATGATGAGTGATATTACTTTACTTTTCATCAAGCACTTACACAAAAGAACCATTGGCAAATTAAATTTTTTTTGCACGTTCAACGATGGACGCCTCGAATAAACTCATAGCAGCAGCCTAAATGTGAGCGTGTTTCATGTGCTAACACCTCTAGTTATATAATAAATTTTCTACTTAATGTATTTCATGTGAGCTTTTTCTACACTAGTGGCAGTGGTTAGGTTACTTCACATTCACTAAGAAGTTCAGTAAATTACCCAACCACCTGCACACTTACAGGCAAGGTTCTTATGAAACATTATAGTCAACCCTATTAACATTTCAAATAGGAAATTCATTATATTTTAATTATAACTTAAGGTGTTAGTATGAAATCATTTTATTTATTTATTAAATTAACATCTCTTGTTATTAATGATGAATCTAATTATCATTTTACTGCTGTACTTATGATGCATTAAATTAGGAATTGTACTTTTAAAGGTAAGTGCAATGTATTGTACTGTATACTGGAGTCATTGCCATATACAGCAGGATCTCGAGTTTCGCGACTAATTGGTACCAGTTTAACGTCGTGAAACTAGTGACATTGAAATATACATGTAAATAAGCCTTATCGGTTCTGCAATCAGTCACCTGAACCCCTCTATAACAACCTACAACCCATCCAGAATATGACAGTAATGCATTCATGCACATTTATATTGTATTGTACATACTGATAACAATATTTACACATACTCATACTGAAGAATAACTTACCTTATACCGAGTCGGTGAATTGCTTGACAGGCCTGGTTAATGGGTCCCGACACAGAAAGGGCTGGTTACTGGTTCCTCCCTGCTCTGCACCAAGATCACCTTGTCCAACCTTAGCATCCAACCCCTCAAAGTCCTACGGTAGCTCTTCCACTTATCCATGTGTTGCCGCCTCAGAATGCTTACCCTCGCTTGCCTCAGTCTCCTCTGTCCCACTTGCCTCGGGGTTAGCGAACAAAGTCTTCAACATGTGTAGCACTGTTGCAACATTAATTTTATGCCATGCGTCAACAATTCTGTCAACTGCATTTTTATTATTGCATTTCTTCCAAAATTCACAAGGTGGTGTAAGGAGTCGTGTCATCTACCATCTCCTAGTTAGCTGGTGCTGGTAGATCTTGGTTATTGTCAGTTCTGCCTCAGTTTGTTGTAATGCAGCTGTCTGCTGACGAAAGTCTCTATAACGTGACTGATAGCAGAACAGTTTAGTCACTGATAAATTCATGGTTAAGTGGCTGGAGAAGTGATGTGGTGTTCGAAGTGATAAAGATAACACGTACATTAGGGTGGCGTCCACCTAGAAACTGTCCAGGCGCATTATCTATCACTATGATTACTTTGAAGTCAATGTTCTTCCTCTGGCAGGAACAAAGTGCTTGTCAAACCAATGTGTAAAAAGACATAACCCAAGCTTTCTTATTAACCGTCCTTCAAATTATTTACACCCCTGTATGTTTTTCATTCTTGGCAATTAAAGTGGTCTTGGATTAGTGCTTCCAGAAAATGCCAGTTTCGTCACAATTGAAGATCTGGTCTCGGCAATAACCGCCCTCTTTCACAAGATCTTGAAAGACCAGTTGATATTCTTGTGCTGCTACTACATCGGTTGATGCACTCTACCCGTGGTAGTGGGCAAACTTGGCTTCATAACGCTTCTTAAAAGTAGTAAACCAACCAACAGAAGCATTGAACGGTGGTGGATGGTTAACATGTTTCTTCCATGCAATTGCAGCATAATAAACACATGCTTGTTGCCTTATCTGTGGCCCGGGCAGGTCACCATGCTCATGGTTTCTTCTTTCCACCCACTCGTGAAGATAATATCCTGTGATAACATGTAGTCGGTCGGTTTCGTTGAGAGGTATCGGAGAATGTCCTGGTACTGGAAAATATGTTCACAGAAGCAGTCCAGGCTTCCTTTTTTTTCTTAATGGAGCATATGGTCAAATCGGGACAATTTAACCTCTGCACGAGTTCACAATTACGAGCACCACTTTTGATCATCTCGTGCATCTCTCGTTTCATTTCAAGGGTATTTTCTATTCTTGATCCTCATTACAGTAGTCATACTTAGCATGGGGCTTTCCTTGTTGACCATGGCAATCATCATCTTCGCCCTCTCTACAACTGTCATTTCCACCAGAACTGCTCCCGACATTACCATCAGGCACCTCACTCATTAACTCGCTACTCATGAAATGTAAGCACAATGGGTTATATGATCCAAGGTAACCATGCCACTCACTCAAACAAATAAAGACGGCAGATAACAAGTGAACTGCAACGATCCACACCGCCTGCTCTCCCTTGAGTTGCGAAACCAGCAATGAAAATTGGGAATCGAGGCTGGAAAATTTTTAATGTACAGTACCGCAAAACTTGAGATCCTACTGTGTGTAAATGTGCATTACCACTTACAAATATAACTTTTGAGTTCTGCTTCAAAAATATTCCTAGATTAAAATTTAGTAACCCACTCTGACATTTGTTCTGTAGTTTTAACATGAATTATCTTCCCTTTGTAGTAAATTATAATTTCTGATTTTTTTTTAAACCCTGAAGTGGTAAATGCGTACACGTACAACTATAAAGGGGCAGCCACTGAGGTAAGCAAGCACAAGTTAATTTTTTTAACCACTTCCTTGAAGCTCAATTCAAAGGTAGAAGCATATGGTCTCCAGTTATTAATTCCCTTGTGTAGTGGAGGCCAGCCAACTACCATGTTCCCCTTTATCTGAACCCACATAATTGTACAGTAAGCTGTAGTAATAGTGAAAGTAGAACAAATGGAACGATTACAAATGAGTGAAATGCATGTTCTTTGCAATTGTTAATGGACCGTACTAAAAATCAACATATGTAAGAATGGTGGCTTACCAATCCACCTAACAGCATGTAACATGGTAGATATGCCTACTGTTCTCGCTCCTTCCGGTAAAGTTATGCACAGAATTGTATTAATATCTGCTACAATTTTTCAACCCTAAACAATAATTAATCGTAAGAATTTTATAAAATCCTCACTCCTGCCTGATGACAAGGTTTCAACTATAAGAAAGCAACAAGGTTAAGATGCAACTCAGCAAATACTCAAGAGTAGTCTTGCCTTGCACCAAGAAAAAAAAAAAACTCATTTGTGGAATCCCAGCACCTGAATAGTGGCGAAGCATAAGTAACAGGAAAGATAAATGCAGGGATCAAGTGTCAATTGGTGTGATGCCAGGTAATAAATTATAAGATAATGAAGCTTATATGTAAGGAGCTTTAACTGTGCTTACAAGAGCAGTGCATTATAAATGAAGATGTAAGTTGAAATACATAAATAAGGCAGGATGATTAAAGAGGTATAACAAAGAGGATGATATTAAATGATGGAGAATTGTATTGTTAAGGCATACAGCTTTACCCTGGATTTCCTTGACAGCGAGATAAATTTGAATGAACTTAACCAAGTATAAGAATGAACAAGCGAGGAAAAGAAAGTGTAGATGGGAAGATATTAAAAAAATTACTACACAAGATAAAAATGGTGAGGAATATAAAACAGGGAAGAACACAACCCTAGAACTCAAGTGTATAATTCATCTCCAACATTGATACTGTGCTTGGACTGGAAGTTTAACTACGGCTCAAACTTTTGTGTAACCCAGTCTCTCTCTCTCTCTTTTTTTAGGTGATTAAGAGTTGCCGTAGCTTCAGTATCTTGGTAGATGACCAAAGTTTCCTTCAAGCATCAGTGCCAAATCCTAAAAAAATTTAATCTTGCAATGACAACAAGCTACTTTTCAGTCACAATTTTTAAACATTTATAAAGCACTTTTTGTTATATAAATTATTAATCACAATGCATTCAAGTAAAAAACCCAAATTCATACTTCCCCAATTCAAAATCACTTATAATTCATAAAGTTTTCCTGTGACAAATTTCGTAATATCTGGTAAAATTTCTAAATTATGTACGAGACATTTAAAAATATTACGATATATTGTTACGCGTGTCAGTCAGTTCACCTGATTCAGTCGTGGAGTGCACATCTACGGTCTCCCACACAAGATTTTTTCCATCATTGTCCATTGTTTAAGACATTATGTCTGGTAACCCTAAATCTGGTACTGTACAGGCACTTAGAAACATTTACATTTTGATTGGGGGAGATAATGGAAAAGTACTTTACTGTAAGTTGTTTTCATATTTATTACAATATTACCCAGTACAGGTTGTACCCCTCTAGTCCAGCAACCTCGGGACCTGACCGGTGCCGGACCATGGAAATTCACCCTTTTCCTGGATAGATAGGGACTTGTGCTTATGCTTGGAAGCACTAGCACCACTTTCTCTGCATCATGGTCTCTTTGAAGACATATTGAAGGGTTAAATGTCGTATAGTAGCTTCTCAAATTTCGCGAGTTTTTAATTCTTAACGTATTTTATAGGAACACACAAAAAAAAAAAAAATTAAAAAAAAAATTTGACGGCGGAAACTTGAATTTCGACAGGTTTGAACGGCCCGCCAACGTGCAGACGACGTGCATAATCGTGTAAACAGCGTCATTTCTCTTATGTACAAAAGATTCATTATTGTTTATTTGCTGAATTTCTTTTTTATTGAATTAATGTTTATGTGTGCAAAATGAGGAATACAATTCATTAATAATACGTAGAATATTAAAACACACGAGTAAATGACACAGCATTGTTTTCGTTGATTACAAAACCAGTGACTGAGTGGTTCTACATATAAAACTGAAGAAAATGAGACCTTGGTTGGAGCTGTAGTAAAATTAATATGGTTGTTTTAAGTAATGTTATTTAATGTTAATAAATGGAACAATAGAAGTAGCTAACGATAATGGTAAAGAAAAAAGAGAGATCGCGTATGTAAGTGCGCATGCGCGCACGTGAAAACATATCGTCATTACTTTACATAAGAAGCAACACTTATTTACTGTTCATATATATTTTAATTAATGTTTCTGAATTTGTTTTTATTGAATTAATGTACGTGTGTGCAAAATTAACAATACAATTTATTAATAATACATCGAATATTAGAGGAGACGAGACGGCTGCCGGCATTGTTTATGTTAAAGCTTACAAAACCAGCGACTGATTGGTTCTACATATAAAACTGAAGAAAATAAGACCCTGATTTTAGCTGTAGTAAAATTAATGTAAAAAAATTAATATGGTTGTTTGAAGTACCTGTAATGTTATTTAATGTTAATAAATGGAACAATATAAGTAGCTAACCATTAATGGTAAAAAAAAGTGAGACTGTGCGTATGTAAGTGTGCACATGTGAAAATATATCATCATTACTCTACATAAGAATATGAAAGCAACACTTATTTACTGCTCATATATGTTGAAGGGTTAAATGTTGTACTCTGTATAGACAAGCAGAGAGAGAGCAGCCGAACTGCCGGATGTAAACAAACCTTAATTTCCCGCGGCTTTTTTTTTTTTTTAAGGGGATTAGCCCACCCGGGCATAGGTCACTGACCCACATTGGGGCCTGAGGGGCAAAAATTTAATACTCCTGTAATAATAATAATAATTAAGATAAGTAAAAAAAAAAAAAAGCTGCCTATCTACCCATTGGACAAACTAAAATCGTTCCGGACCAAAGAATGCCGGACTAGAGGGGTACAACCTGTACTGTATGTCATGTTAATTATTTATCAATAAGAACATGGAGTTAACCCTCTCAATAGTCAACAAGATATGTTACTAAAGAGACTGACAGTTGGCAGACTCCTACTAGCTCAACCTCAGGCACAGCCCGGCCTAACACTTTTGTAAATAACTCATTGTTGTGTTGATTCTGCAGCATTTTAAAAGAATATTTTTGTGTATATGTAAGTTTCCATTTCAAGACTTTATTTCCCTGTATGAAAAAACTTTTATTTATTTCTAACAGTAATGAGTAATTGTTTAAAAAAAAGTAATAAATTCCTCCAAATTAAATTCTTCCCCATACTGTATCTTATAAAAATATTTCCATATTTTTTGAAAATGACGAGTTATGGATGATGCAATCTGCATCATCGTCTGCAAGTGAATGAGGTTTGCCACAACAACCTGCATCATCAGTCTGCAAGTGAGTAAGATTTGGCAAGACAACCTGCATAATTGGCCAATAAGTGAGTAAGGTTTGGCATTACACAACCTGTATCGCCAGACAGCAGGGTAATAATTGACCAAATGGCCATAATGAATAAAGGTTAATAGCAATTTCAGTGTCCATTACAGGTATATATATATATTTTTTATCAATTTACAATCAAATACAATGATCCTCCTATCTGGTTTACATAAATTTAAAATAAGTTTTGTGCACTAAAAAATAACAAAAGAAAGAACGTACGGTGATAGGGGATTCATTAACAGTACACAAGCATGAGTGAATATCATGTAAAGGCCCGTCAAATCTTAAATAAGAGATGAATTCATAAGAGATGAATTCAAATTATCAAGTAATTCACAGTAGAATCTGTTAAAAGTTAGTAAACCTTCCCTCAAAATAAAAAGTTTTTAATGGTACCTGTACTTGAATTCATTAATGAAAAGACTAAATTTTTACATGAAATTCAAATGCAACTTAAAATAGATTTTACTGGAGGCAAAAAATCCTAAGAAATAATTTTAGTGTTACGCTTATGATTAAGTAAACATTGGCTAATTAGCCTTTCAAGTCTCTATATCTCTCTACATGAAATGTTATTTAACCCTATATGCCCTCATTTTTCATCTGCCCAGTGGGACCCAACCTATCTGTACCTACGTACCATAGGAAACTTGTTTAGGCTATCCCTATCACTTAACTGCAAGTTTTTAAGGGGGACTGGGTCTAAATCAGAAGTATTTCAATATCATAAAATGCTCAAAAAGCCTTTCCATCTTCTGGACAAATAGGACAAACAGTACATATGAATCAGGTTCTGGACATCTGTCCTAAATCAGGATATCTTTTGAAACTGTAAGATATATGAAATCTACTCACCAAACCTGACTGTAGGTTATAATAAAAATATACAGTACTGTATACCAAGACTATATCAACTTACAGTAAGTCCAGGTTACAGTACAGTAGTACTGTATATGCAAAGCCTTATAAACATAAAAAAAAAACTAAATATATTCAGAAGCTAAACTACATGGAGGACTACTTGCTACACAGTCCTGTTTAATTTCCAGTTATATGATCATTCAGTTGGAAACTTTTACATGGTACTAAACTTATACTGCTATTCCATTACTACAATTATTATGCGAGACATACTCTAACCTTGTGTGGAAGGAGTGAGGAAACAACAGCAAAACTCATAAAAGTCCTACAGCATCAAGAGTACAGTACACTAACTTATAGATATTACACTACAGTACATCTAACTTTACTCCATTCCAAACTTCAGGGGTTTAATCACCAATATCCAATACTACCACGAAATCAAACTCCTTTTCAAGAAAACTATCACCATAAAAATTCCTAGCATTTACCTTTAATTTACGAATATAACACAAGCTGCCAAGAGCTATTCACCACCTTTTGCAGTTACTCTTCACTCTAAAAAATCACTACATTATCTACAGAAGACATGATACAAATAGTCACATTCACCTCTTGACTTTTGTTTCACTGCTGCCCTTTTCACCCTTACAACCCAATCCTTAAATATCTTACACACAGGAGACATCACACATCCCTTCCTCACTCTCAGTACTCGCACGCCGTTCTCTATTTCTTCCCGTTCCATAAATTTCTTCACCTCTCTGAATTATCCCTACTTAATACACCTCATAATGTCTTCTCTAGACCCATAAATGCCACATACAAATTCCTGCTTTATGTATTAGCTACAAGGATTACACTTCAGTATTTTGTCTATACAACTCCCACCTGTTCTAAATGTTCCCGGTTCCTCACATAACAATAATAAGTCCATAAGGGGTAACAAAAATCATGTGGTTTATATGTGACATTGGAGGCATGTGCGATTATATGCAAGTGCGATATAAAATCAATAAATATGGCTCTAATATGCACCAAATGGTAAAATTCTTCTTAAGCTTTCAAGTGTGCGGGAAAGTTTATACAGTACTTAGAACCCAAGAAACATTAATCGTTATCATCATTTTATGACTATTTTTCCACACTTGTGGGTTGGCCAGAAACTTATCACTTAAATTTGGTAAATCTACTTTAAAGATTTTTAAGATGCAGATTTAAAAAAAAAAATTTCTTCACATACAAGTTTCTTTTAAATATCAAAAAGCAACAAAATGATGTAGCTTCTAATTAACTAGATGTTTACAGTATTTTATAAAGTTTTACAACTTTCATATGTATTTTAACTACTTTTCTTTATGGACATCTAGTTTAATAAAAACATAGGTATCCAGTTGCCAGACTTCATAAGTGCCAAATGTCTCATTATTTACTGGGAAAAATAAGGCATACATGCCTCATCGGCTTTATTGATCCATCAGTTATTCGTAAGTCTGGGCAATTTTTATCAATACACTAGAATGATCCAAACACTGCCTTGTAGGGTCCATCAAAAATTGTTGTTGGTAATGCCTATGAGCTTTATATTTATACTACTAAATAAAAACAAGATTTAGACTATTCCGTCCACACATACTTTCTGGCTGATTTACGGCACCAAATTAACCATAAACTTTCTTGATTCATGTAGATTTTAAAATCTATGGGGGAATTAAAGTTGACAAACAGTATTATTAGTAGAAGGAAAAACAATTGGTGTGTACCGTCAAGCACCAAGAGTCGAATAACGTATTGGAGTCCACGGTCGGCAGGGGGACAAATGTCATAACCTAGTAATGATACTGCACCATGTGTGTGTGAGTGTAGGAGTGAGGGGGGAGTGCACGTGTGTAATCTAACCTCTTTACCTAAATAGAAAATCTAAACAGTAAATATATTTTACAATTTCTAGCAATTAATCCAAGAAATTAAACACTTAACTCTGCTAAATACCTAAACAAAACATGGGACAATTTGGGGATACAGCAAGTTCTAATTTAAAACTAAATGAAATGGTTTATATTATTTCAAACAGAAAGTGTAAACATTCACTTGGCCTTTGTAAGTTGTAAAATACAAAGAACTTATAAAGAAATTTGGGATAGCCATTAAAATATGATGGATTGAATATCAATGCCTCATATTTTATAACAGAATATACTCTAATTGACAATGGCATAACTTTTTCAAATTTATCTTGAAAACAAAAACGAATTTGGTTTTACCAGAACCCACCATGCACAGCTTTACGACCACCTAGCACAGGCGTTGAGCACAGTATTCTGTTGGATCTACACGTATGTGCTGTAGGTTTGCTCTTTGTCTGTTTCAAATGGTAGCATATCTTTACTCCAAGTTCCACCCAGCCTTTCAATCAAATTATGAATGTACTGCTCATCTGTTTCGCTTTTCATTTGAAACTGAAATAAAGCAGAAAAAACATTAACATCTGAGAATTATTATACATCAAATACTGTACAGTAGTATTAAATAATGAACACATTTAACAATCAAGTACAATAAAAGAAAAATGAGAGTTGGAAGTAAAGTCTTCACAAGAAGTTTTTCCCCTGAACTGTTAACTTCATTAATAATTAGTAGTGAACAATACATTATTATAATTAAAGTTGCACCGTTGGATAATACACAACGTAACTTCGAATCAATGTACTGTATGTATTCTTTTCTTTTCCCAAATTCCCAAGTTTCTTAATTTGATATCAAAATTTGTCATACTCTTTGCTTGCCAGCAACTTGGGTGGTCTGTTTTCTGTTTCAACCTTCATCGTCTAAAGTTACTACAGTAAAGGAGACTGGAATACAGTATTGGATCACAGTCGGGGGAAAGGGTGCTGTGCATTCCCAGCTGGCACCCGCTCCCCTCCTTCCCCTCTCACAATTGGACTCTGACTACCTCTACTGTGGATGTAAGAAATGTTTATCATCTTTATGTTTTTTATTTTAAGATAATTTCTTTCTTTTTTTTCTGCACGTTCTGTATGTGTGCATGTAACAGAATATGTACAGGCAGTCCCTGACTTCCAACAGGGATCTGATCATAAGTCGATTTGTTCGTAAGACAGAACAGTGCTAATTCCATAGTTAGGTAAGTTAAAGCACAACCCTGCCCATACAAAACAAACAATTTCCCCTACATAATATATAATATAAATACTGTAAATAATGTGGTGCTAAGCAATATAGAATAAGGAGCTGTGGAGGCGTTAATAGTTCAATGACCGACTCAAGATTACATACACAGTGGAGCACAGTGTCTGCTAGCAAAAATATCCACCCAGCATTATTCCAGTAAAACAAAGACAACATGATTCTGAGCAACTACAGTCCACGTTGCAGTTATTCAGACACAAGGAGTTATATTTTTGTAAAAAAGTGTTTTGATTTGGAATTAATGTTAAAAGTGTGAATAAGTAGTGTTCAAAAGAATTGCTTGCTTATTTTATTCCTCACTGGTCAGCATCTAAGGCACCGTAACATATCCTCATAAACTTCAATGTTTAAGAGAAGCATTTAACATACCATATATACTCGTCTATAACCCCCCTTCGTATATAGGTCGACCCGGATTTTTTGACCAAGAAATCGTTAATTTATGATATTCCTCGTTTATAGGTCGATCCAAGTTTTGAGGGTAAAGGAACAACAAAACCTTCAGAAAAACACTACGTCCTATAAACTTGTTTACCATTTATTATTATGACACTTTACACTGAAATGCGGGTAGTTTCAACAAAAATATTGTATATTTCCATTTAAGTATTTATTCAAGTCAATTAGGAGGGAATATTATTGCAATACAATAGTTTTTTAACTGAAAACCATTCGAAAAGCGATTACGGTAACATATTTTGAACGAAAGAAAGCAAGTCATTGTTTTCGTCACAATTTTATCCCACTTCCCACTATAATACGTACGTCATTTCAGCAAAAAATATTACATTTCCGTGAATGTATTATATCAAGCACAGTATGAATAGAATATCACTAATATAACAGAATTTTAACCGAAAACTATTAAAAAAAACGAGTAACATATCTTGAAAATCGGAAGGTTTGGTAAAGTCTTTTGCTTTCATGTAGTTTATCCTAATTTACATTGAAATACATCACGTTTCAGCAAAACTACTATTTATTTCTGAGAATATGGAAATGTAATATTTTTGCTGAAATGACGTACGTAATATAGTGGAAAGTGGGATAAAATCGTGACAAAAACAATGAATTTCGCTTTCTTTCGTTGAAAAGATGTTACCGTAATCGCCTTTCGAATGGTTTTCAGCTAAAAACTGTTGTATTACAATAATATTCTATCCTAATTCACTTGTGATGTAACAGTTTTTTAACTGAATATGATTCGAAAAACAAGTGTACCATCTAGCTGATACAGCAGAGCCCTGGTCGCATCGGCCCTTCTTAAGCAGCTTTTAATTTTAGCGTACGTTGAAATTGTGTTTACCGGTATATTCTTATTTTCTTGCTTCTTATTTTCCAGAAATATGACAAGTTTGTATATAATACAATGTTACGGTACTTTTAATTTACAAGTATTCATTTTTAAAAATACAGAAGACACCAAACAAATACCAGTACTACGGTTATTTGCGTGACTCTCCCGTCAAAAAAGACCAAACAGCTGGTACTCTCTCCCTCAGCCCTACCAAAAATAGCCCAACGACATCTTTCTTGTTCATTCTCTTCCAATTTCTCACTTTAACTGGTATTTTTTACTTCATATTGCCTACATCAGATAAACTACAGTAATTGAGGTTTGACACTGTGATAAATTTGATTACCGGGTCCTGGCAGGTGCCGTTAGAACCACCTGACCCTACCAACAGTGTTGCAAGTCAGACAGCATTTTTTTAATCATCCATGTGCACGAGAAAGGATGGATGGATGAAGGCGGCATACAAATATGGCTTAAAAAAGTCTGGAACTTTAGACCAGGGGGACTGCGCAAAGAAAAAAGTCTTCTTGTGTGGGATATGTTTCGGTCACATCTTGTTGACAGTGTTACTGCTGGGATTAGGAAGGAAAACACTGATACAGCTGTGATTCCTGGTGGATTAACAAGTCTTGTCCAACCACTGGATGTTTCCATAAACAAACCATTTAAAGATGCGGTAAGAGTGAAGTGGAACAACTGGATGATCGAAGGCGATAAGACATACACAAAGGGAGGCAACATCCAAGCTCCATCACTAGCAACATTATGTGAATGGATTGTAGAGGCCTGGGATGCAATCAGACCAGAAATTGTGGTGAAATCTTTTAAGAAATGTGGGATTTCGAATGCTCTTGATGGAACAGAAGACGACTTGTTGTGGGATTATGAGGCTAATGAGAGAGTGATTGAGGATGAAGATATTGATGATCCTATGGCTGATGATGGTGTTGATCCATATGACGATGCTGTTCAAGGAGAGGACTGGGAGGAGCTGTTTGGTGTTGCAGATGAAAACAAGGAAAATGATTTTGATGGATTTTAATGAAAATATTCAGAAATATGGTATCGTAGTATTTATTCAAGTCAATTAGGATAGAATATTATTGTAATACAACAGTTTTTTAACTGAAAACCATTCGAAAAGCGATTACGGTAAAATCTTTTGAACGACGAAAGAAAGTGAAAGTCATTGTTTTCGTCACAATTTTATCCCACTTACCACTGTAATACGTACGTCATTTCAGCAAAAATATTACATTTCCATATTTATTTCTGAGAATATATTCATTCAGGCACAGTTAAGGTAAAATATACCTGTGATGTAATATTTTAATGAAAATATTTATAAATAAGGTATCGTATTTTTCTTTTGTTTCAAATTTAATTAACAAAGATTGATGTTTCAAATTTAATTAAAAAAAATTTATGTATCTATAAATAAACTTTTAAAAATGAATACTTTATGTTTTACATACTCTTGTGCATACCATACCATGCTACTTTGGGCTTGCTATGATGATGCAAGAGATCTGCCCTGGCAACTGTACCGACACTCACAGTGGGTGGTGCGTTGGTGCGGTTTCCATTGTTTACTGGTAGTTACTGGTAAATGTTTTTCAAACTAACGAAACTATTACCCGTATAGAGGTCGACCCCCAACTTTTTGCCAAAAAATTTGGTCTTAAGAACTCATTCTATACACGGGTATATACGGTACTTAATATTACATATATCTCTCACCAATATGTCAAGGGTTTGAGTAAATGAAAATATAAGGTTCAGTGTAAGCCTCTTTGTGATGTTCTCTCAATTTATTGTCATATATTAGCTTAAATTTTGCATTCATTAAGAGCTTTTCTAATAATAATTTGCTGCCCAGTGAGTCAGGCTAAGATTTGAACCCTCTGAGTGCTATGAAAAACTGGGGATTTTATTCAGCTGAAGGGAATTCTTGGCAAACAGAGGGTTAAGAGACACTCTATAGAACTGTGGAAAAATGTGAAAATAATACTCCAGGTATTTTGTATATCACAATGGATGACTATTTATGTTTTTAAAACACCAATTTATGTTTCTATAACAACAGCCTTGGAACTTACCAAGTGCCATGGTCGTCCATTTTCTTCATTACTCACTGAAGAGTCTTGACATGGTTGTTGATGTGTGCCACAACCCTGAACTTCCACCTTCTGTACCTTCACAGGCACTATTTCCTGTTAATAAGGAACAGTGAGATGTCATTTTAATTTTCCTGTTGATTGGTAATAATGAGATGGCAAAGTGTGTGTGTTTTTTTTTACTTTTTTACTTACTGTAATAGTTGTTAATAAAAACCAATAGAGATGCAGAGCTTGTGACTCTTTACAAGCAATACAGTCATGAACCAGTTAACACTCACATAAGATTATTCCATCACACAATAAATATGCTTACCTCTGTTTGATCATCCTCAGTAGCAATTGTGCTGCGTTTGGTGCCAGTTTTGTTCTTGTGGTCACGCTTCACATTTTTACAACAGCGAATGGTGAAGCAATCTTCCTTCAGAGAAATGTTGCTGTAAAGACAAAGATCATTCAAATTTAAGAGAAAATTTCACAGAATGTAAAAGACATCAACCTAAGATAATAACTCTCACTGCATCCCATAGCTTTGACGAAACCGACTACCGTATACAGTAATGCATATCTGCTAAAACAGAGACGATATGAACTTCTCTCTCTCCCCTCCTTGAAGTATTGTACTGTACACCCAAAACACTACTGCACACAATGCTGGACCTCAATATTCTGTCTGAAAAATGCTGTGAATGTCAAAACTGCCTGTGTCAATACTTAATCCTCATGGGCAAATTAGGTTAGGTATTATGCCATTAAGTCAGGAATAATAAATAAATAAATTTTTTAATAAAATACAGTATTATATTCTGTTCACTGTATACAAAACTAAAGATAAAACTGTATACTGTGCTGTATTGTACGTTTAAAAATAATCGGTAATGATGCAATTATAAATACTTAAATTTTTCAATTAATGTCAATACATTTTATCTTTCTCTTTGCAACAGAATCAGTTAGTGCACTTATATGACTTTTATTTTATCTAGTTATTTTTGTGTGAGAAGGGGATAGAGCATGATTAAGGCCTTGATAGATTATTGACTAAGAATGTAAAGTTCACACACTGCCAAGAGGATATACACAGGAGTTGATTACAGGTCTTGTAAACGAAGGAGTTATAATTAAACATTTGGTGGCTGAGATGAAAGCTAGGTACATAATATTATGATTATTATTATACTTAAATTGTACATTATTTATTGTTCTTATAATTTTAGTTTAAAAATTTAAGTACAGTACGATACAATATCCAGGATACAGTAGTGAAAAAATAAAATAATATGGAGTAAAGTGACAAGCATTTTGGTAGTAGACAGATACCTGTTAAGATACAAGTGAAAAATATCTGAAACATGATTAACAGGCACACACCCCCTCAAAATCTTACTTTAGAAATGGCAATGATTTTCTGTATATGTATCTATAGAAATGGCAATGATTTTCTGTATATGTAATGTATTTCACGGGGCAAAGGGAGGCTCAGGCACGTAACTCCTGTATTTCATCTATTTCTTAGGGGAAAATTGATCAACTTAATGTTGTTTCGTATAACATAGCATTTTTAGGAACGTAACCCTGACGTTCAGCAAGAACTTACTGTACTTTCTTCTATTACATATAACAATTGCTCAAAATATTCTCCCTATCTCCTTCAATTCAAATTCTTCTTCATATCTCCTTTATCTTTCCAAAGGTTCCTATAACACCTCTTTCATTCTTTGTCATTTTCTACTTTTGGTTTTCTCACTCCATGTATTCTCTACTTTCCTCTTTATCTCCTGGTACTCCTGCCCTTTTTTCATCATTAGTTTCTTGAAACTGGCATACTCGTACATAATCTCTTCCCTTCTCCTTAATGCACAATTTTATCCCAAACTTCTTTTTTGCCTTGGCACATGAATGGCATGATGGTTCCTCACTCATGAAGATATAGTGTGCCAAGCCTTGAAACACTTCTACTTGGTTAGTTGGCAATACATGCAAGTTTAAAGACTGGGTATAAAAGTACTGTTTGAGTACTGAAGATTTGAGTGTTTGGTGTGACAAACTGGAGTAATATACTCGCTGGAATTACTACACTGTACAGTATATGAAAATAAATCATAGTGGTATGGATATGTTAAGCACAATTATTAAAGTCTTTTGACTATCACTGGCAGTGGTTTCGAGCACCATTTACTTCAATTATTTAGTTTAGATGCAAATAGATATCTTTGCTGAACAAGCCATAGCTGAATATAACACGAACATAGAATCTTGTGGTATCAAACTTACCTTACAGGATCATAGATGCCAATTCTGAGAACCAGTTTCTTACATTTTTCTCTGTGACAAGAGTTCAAGCACAGCAGAACAATGGAGATTTTTAAATTTCCTTCATCATCAAAATCATTTCCCTGGATATCATATGTTGCTATTGGATGTTTTGCATTATCAACTTCATAATTACATGTATTTGTCATAAAGAAATTAAATGCTTGAGGCAGTATGCTTGGTCTTTCAGGGAAATCTTGGTGATTCCTGCAGGAATTTACTGGTGTGTCCTTATGGAGTTCATCGATATACCTCATGGACATAGTGACTTTTTGACCAGCTTTGGTTCCTTCTATTTTAAAAAACACTGGTGTTCTATTCTGGGTGGTGATGATGTCTCGCTCCACCTAAAATATGAAATAACTTTTATTAAAAATTAATCCTTGGCCAATATTCCTCGATCTAACTAGATTTGGTTAATTTAGGTTCTTTTGGTTATGTTTTTAGTTAACACCTTTTCACTGCTTTTAGGCCTTGCCCAACTTTGGTGGGGTCAAAATTTACGTGGAAGAAATACCCAAAACTTTGTAACCTTGTAGTTCCCAAAACCTTCATTCTCACTACTGGATTCAGCATGAATGACTGCATAAAAAATAAATAAAAATGCACAGGCTGTTTGTTGGTGTTTGTGGAACAATTACCCAGTTGTTATGAGAAGATATCAACCTTACAACTAATGTGAGAGTCACGTTACCCTAACCTATCACCCCAGTGTATACTGTACCACCATCTCACCCACATACACTCATCACCAATGTTACCAAAATTGATTCTTCTAATTGTATTAATTATAAATAAAATCCATACAACAGTTGAGTTGCACTCTATAAGGAACAATAAGCAAAATGTATGGATCAAAAAATATATGGACATCAGGGTGTAATGATCTTGTAAAAATTTCCTATATAACTACAATTACTACTCTTAATCACTAATAATTACCAAGTTCAATCTCTTACACTTACTCCTTTCAATAACCATCAATTACTGTTTTCCACCAATAATAATAGCATAATAAGTAATAACACCTATGTACTTACCAAGTATGGAGGGTTTTTCTTCTTTTCTGATGGTATGGGTTTGATACATAGGTTGATATCATAATCATAAAGGTAAGTTTGGATCTTTGCTTCAAGATCTTTTCCTGGCAACTCATTTGAAGCAATGGTCACTTCAGGAAGGTCAAACGGTTCTTGTGTTATTGAGTTCACTACAAAAGTGTAACCTCTTTGCAGCTGATTGTTAGCTACAACTGTGTCCTTTGGTAGTTCCAAATAATCTTCAATTTTAATATCTCTTGCTCCTTTTGCAATTTCCAAATTACTTATCACTTCCGGCTCATCTTCCTCCATTATTATATGAGGGAAGGACCTGGAAACAGATATTTTCACATTAAATTGGCAAGAAACGTGTCAATCTATAAATGCAAACAAAGAAACAAACAAACAAACATGGCAACCTTCAAATAAGTCATGTAAACTCTTTTGTGTAATCTGCTAAACGCTCCCGTGCTGGCATGACCCCTCCCCCTCAGCCATTTATCACACAGAGCACCCCTCCTATAAGAAGATATCACACAGAGAGCACCTCTCCGGTAAGAAGAAACGCTGGGACAGTGGACCAGCCCTATCAACCACCTAAGTTCCACCCACTAGCCTCGTGTGCTGGCAGATGCTTCTCTAAGGGTGCAGTTTGGGTATGGATTGCTCTATCACATGTTTACCAAAATGGGTAAAACATTGAATTGAATTGAAACAGTTTATTTAGCCAGAAAAACACAGATACAGAGTGGATAATAACAACAATATTAACATAGCTGAGCCAGTTGAGAACCTGAGCTCTCCTGTAGGCACCTGATAAATACTATACAGTGGTCCCTCGGTTAACGAACGACTCGGTTAAAAAAATTTCAGTTAACGAATTACCTTCCATAAGAATATTAAATTTGGTTAACGAATTCCTTACGAATTCCTCTCAACATGTTTTCGCTTGCTCACCAGCTGGAACATTAATCCGCCAATACAGTAATCGGTTCTAGGGCTTAAATTCGTTCCCATTTGAGTAAATATCAAGAAGGTTGTACAGTGGCCCCTCGGTTAACGAGCACAATTCGTTTCAGAAGGTTACTCGTTAACCGAAAAACTCGTTAACTGAAACCATTGTTTCAATGGGTTTTTGGGTAATTGGTTCCAGCTCACCAAAAATTGCCTAAAATCAACAAAAAATGGTAGTAAAGTACACTTACTTTGAGGTGTGTATGTAGAAGGCTCCTGGATGATGATGATGGGAATCAGAATGGGGGTGGAGAAGAGAAGGCAATGGGGTGGAAGAGAAGTCACCCCATGGCGCCATTTCACCCATAAAATTTTAGCTTCCTTGGTGTAATTCAAGATTATTTTCTTTAAATCAACACTGCACTGCATTATATATTGTCAATATGTAAAATAAATTTCAAATTGACCAATAATTTGCTTGAAAACACAGAAAAATGTGTTTACTTGAAGAGAGTCTCAAGCAAGATGTTACCCCCACTAAAAAGACAGAGACTGACGCCTGTATGGTGTGTTGACAGGCTGTATGGCGCGCAAAAAAATAGCTTCCTATACTTCAATTATGTTCAATAAATATTAAATGACTAAAAATTTTAATATAAGACTTTTAAAATTATTGAATAGTACAAACTTCTTGATATTTACTAAAATAGTAAGGAATTTAAGCCCTAGAATCGATTACTGTATTGGCGGACTAATACTATAGCTGGTGGACCGCTAAATGCAAGCAAAAACATGAGGAGGGGCGCTCATTAAAAACTCGTTAATCGAGGGATTGCTCGTTAACCGAAGTTAAGAATCTTATGGAAGGTAATTCGTAAACCGAAATCTCGTTAACCAGGGCGCTCGTTAACTGAGGGATCACTGTACTATTCAATAATTTTCCAAGTTTTATATTAAATTTTTGAGACATTTCAACAATTATTTAACATAATTGAAGTAGAGGAAACAAGTTTTTAGTGCGACAAACAGCCACTCAACTCACCAAACAGGCGTCAGTTTGTATCTCTGGTCAGTAAAGGTAACATCTTGCTTGAGACTCTCTTGAACATAAACTATTTATACATTTTTACAGTACAATTATTGGTCATTCTGAAATTTGTTTCACATATTGACAATATAGAGTGCAGTATTGATTTAAAGAAAATAGTCTTGAATTATGCCTAGTGAACTTAAAATTTTATGGGTGAAATGACAGCATGAAGCATGGGGTGATTTCTCTATTTCCACCCCCACTTCCTTCTCTAATTCCCATCATCATCATCAACCATGAGCCTTCTACAAGCACACCTCAAAGTAAGTGTACTTTACTACATTTATTTTTACTTTGTATGTAATTTTCATTGAGCTGGAACCAATTACCCAAAATCCCATTGAAACAATGTTTTCGGTTAACGAACGACCTTCTGGAACGAATTGTGTTCGTTAACCGAGGGACCACTGTACATTTATCTCAAGGAAGTATTATGTAACATTTAGTGTCATCTGGAATAATACAATAGCATGGTGGTAATAAGAACATCTCATAATGTTACCACGGCTATCGCTTCAATATTTAATTATTTTATTTATTTATTTTGTTTTTGTTTTTTATTATAAGTATACTGTACTGTATACATAAATTACAGTGGAATTGAAAAACAAATATAATGGGGGAGCAGTACAACATGGGTTGTACAGTATTCAGGTTGGACAAGAGGACACAGCTGTCAGGATTATGTCTAGTTGGCAAATATATTTATTGCAATGGTAATTTTTTTTTATTTACATGATAACTTCCGATAAAACGGTTTTGATGGTACAACAAAAGCAGGTACTGTAAATATAGTAAGTATTACAAGAAATATTAATACTTAGACAATAGATATTTTTTAAGAGATGATTTAAAGGAAGGGAGCGTAGTCTTTGCTCGGATGGGTGGGGGTAAGTTGTTCCACACCTTCACACCATGATATTTTATGGAGGTCTGGGACTGAGAGAAGCGCTTGGGGGTGGTCTTAGTAGCTCTGGGTGCCTAAGTTGAATCTCTGATTATTCCGGAACGGTTACAAATTGCGTCAAAAACTGCGTGGGGACGAGAATGTAAATGACGCTACTGTATTTGCATTGAAAGACTGTGGGGGGGGGGGTGAGATTTCCGACCGTGACCAGGAGTAACACAGGGTTAAAGTCAATGAATAATACTTCAAATTTGTGTTAAAACAATTACATGTATTTGGCTTCTTTACATGTTTGCATGTCTTTTCAAAACATACAATACAGATTAGAAATGGCAATTAACTAAGTGTGTTTACACATATTACAAATTCTTCCTACCAGCCCCATTTTCACTTTTATACCTTTTCAATCCTATTAATGTGCTAGGTTGTATGAGAATAATCATCTATCATGATGCCAATACCAAAAATTAATTATCCTACACTTCTGCAACAAATTGGTGTACAGGTAATTACAATAACTTTACATTTAAAAATACTGAGCAATACTTACATATCTATTCCGCCAGGAAAACCGGACATAGACTCTACGGTACCCACGTCACTGTAGCGTGCCAAGGTAATGTTCTCTTGCTGGGGGTGGCACTGCCTGCAAAAATATAAATGATGGTTTGACCATGAGAACTCCCTTAACATCTTAGCTCGAGTCAGGTGACTCATGTAGTCATTATGTCTTTGGGTTTCCAATCACTCCTAAAAATTATGTACTTCTCCCATCTTCCACACCCCTTCTAAGATGTCTCCCTCCATTTCCTAACACTCAAAAGACAAGTCCCCTTTTACCTCAAATTCTCATTAGTTTCAATTAATATAAATTAATTTTCATTAACATATTTAAGTACAGTATTTACAATACAAGTACTATTTTAAGAAAAAATAAATAAAAATTTAACTGTGAGCGGCTTATGTGATTCCTATATTCAATAAGGGCGATCGTCACTCCATGAATAATTATAGACCAGTGAGCCTGACCTGAGCCTGACCAGCACAGCGTGTACAGTGTGTAAAGTACAAGAGACCATCATAAGAGATGCCATGATGGTGTATTAGCCCATCTCATTGGCAGCAGTATTATCTAAATTTGGGCTAATTACATTAGTCTTGTATAATTATCACCCCCTGTAATCTTCCATAGCTGTGAGGTTCATGTTCAGAGCACATGATGGCTTGAAATTTGGTTCATTGTGGGTGCACCGAGTGGAAATGGTTGTTCTTGCAATTTGGTGATTTTATCAGAAATAAATCCTTGTTGTCATATGGGCCACAGTAGTGTCCATAAAGAAGACGTACTATTCCAAAAGCTGTCATAATCACTCATTTCATTCCATTTAAACTCTATATAATACACTACTGTACTGTATATAAAACCATAGTTCAAGACATTTCTGTTGTGGTAATGATATAGCTTCTAGTACAATAGTCATCACATTACTGTATTGTACAGTACAGGTACTTACATTGTGGATGTGGATTTATCCTCTTCGTCCTTGGTCAATTTACTCTGATGACAGCAGTTAGTCAGCGGTTATATATCTGGGGGGGGGGGAGTAAAAAATTAATTACAGCACTTAGTAGCATAATTCATTTAAGATCTACGGGAATGCTGTTACTGTAATATGTATCAATCAGTGCATGTACTGTATGGTATTGTAGAAACATGTGGGTGTGACAGATTAGTATGAACTATATTATCTTTGTTTATGCCCATGCTGGAGACAATGGGACTATTAATCTGATAAGTGGTAGCAATGATAAATTAAAAAATAATATTCAGTACTTTTAACGATAAAACAAATTAGTCAAACTAAACCCAATAGCTTGTCATTACTTTAGCTAAATTTGGTGAGCTGCCAAGCTTTAACATCAAAACATAACCTACTTTTTGAGGGAAATAATAATTTTCTAGTAATTGTATACAATATTTGGATCTCATAATGAATAGAAACCTCAACTAATTTCACTTTATGACAGAACACCCAATTGATAACCAAACCTAACAAAACCCAGTCCCATTTAACATTAGTGTGCTTTACAGGCGATATAAGCTAGGGTTCCTAATCTTCTTAATATCTTTCCGAGGTTCAGAGTCGCTACCTACAAGATACAGTTTATTGGGCTTATATGCAACAAGACATATTGTGAACATGTTTGTTTTGGAAAGTATGATGCAGGATCATATACACAAAAAACAAAAACCCAAAGTTGACACCAAAATATAAGTGACATTGTCATAGAAGAAGTAATGCATTCTGTTGTGCACCTAAACCACCTATTGTAGACAAATATATGGATATTATTTTACTTTCGGACATAGCACGCCCCAAAGTTATAAACTACCGAAACATTTAGAACTCCCTATTCTGAGCAATTTGAGCCCCATATATACCTGGCGGAAATGGATAATAGTGACACTGTAGTGGAGGCCTCCCCTACAAACGCCGTGTGTCGCTGACTGGCCGACCCCCCGCGAATCTGACGGCATATCCCTCGTGGTCAAGGTCAGGTAACCAGCGATGCCAAACAAAGAGGGGGAGGCCTTCCATCAAGCCACGCCTACCGCGGTTATATAAGACCTCATCGCCCTCTCTACTTATCGCCACCAACAAGCAACATCCCTCAACAGCTCCATACACACGCTCCCTCAGAAAGCTCCTTGCCCTACAGGAACTCTGAGCAAGCTTCGCCCGACTTAGTATCTCTTTAACACTATGCTGTGCAACAATATATATACGAGAAACAGTGATTTTCTATTTCTACCTCAATCCTGAGTGTTGGATATATTTCATGTACGTACGTTGTGAGGCCAAATAAGAGACCCTGACAACCTGCCACGACAGTACGCTACAACACAATTGAATTTAATTGATTTTACCTATTTTTCAGTCTTCGTCTATGTGAGATGTTATCGTCGTGAAAGCGAGCTAATTATGAGCGTGTTTACATCCCGTGGTGACCAATGATGTATCAATCTCCTCACGCAATTTTTTTTACCAATCAAAATTGAATTTTTCCAAAGGGAGGAGCTAAGGTACGGATTTGAAGGATTTCAATTTCAATGACCAGTGTGACAATGGCCGTGGTAGAGGTTGGGTGTGATTCGTGTTCCTACGATTATTTTAATTTTATTGCTGAGTTTTGCGAGGAAGACAATCCAGCTATCCAATTCCTATGTAATCGCGGTGTTCTCCCTACATCCGTTGAGTGCCCGTACTGTAAATTTAGAAAGAACAAGCATCAGAGGTTGAACCTGTCCCTGGGGGTCCGACTAATTACCCAAATGTAGCCGCAATTAAGTCAAATAATGGTCCTACATGAATAAATAGGACTGCCAATCACGTCTCGACTTGTATTTGGTGTCACAAAGTAAAAAAAAATTGAAAACCGTAATTTAATCTGAGTTAATCGATCGCGTGCATGTACTGAGGGAGCGAGTAATTACCCAAATGTAGCCGCAATGAAGTCAAATGATGGTCCTACAAGAATAAATCGGACTGCCAATCACTTCTCGACTGGTATTTGGTGTCACGAAGTCACAAAAAATTGGTAAACTTTTAATTTAATCTGAGTTAATAGATCAAGTGCATGTACCTAACTTAACACAACTCAGATTAAATTAAGTTTACCAATTTTTTGTGATTTTATGACACCAAATAATAATTTTCAAATTTACGCTTGTAGGACCATCATTTGACTTCATTGCGACTACATTTGGGTAATTACTCGCTACCTCGGTACAAGCACGCGATCTATTAACTCGGTTTAAATTAAGTTTTCAAATTTTTGGTGACACCAAATACTAGTCGAGAAGTGGTTGGCAGTCCGATTTATTCATGTAGGACCATTATTTGACTTCATTGCGGCTACATTTAGGTACATTTGGGTAATTAGTCGGACCGGTCCCTGGTCCTTCCACTTTTAAATAAGGTATTATACTTTCGGACATGGAGCGCCCCAAAGTTCAAAACTACTGAAACATTTAGATCTCATTATTTTGAGTCTTTTGAACCCCATTTATATTAGTTGGAAATGAATAGGATAGGTTAGGTTAGTTTAAGCTAGGCCTACCAGGGATCCAGGGGTTGGGTCGAGTTGGGTTAGACCCTGATTTCCCAGGCTCTACCCCATTATCAATGATGGGGGGGGGGGCAAAATAGGTGCAATTTCCGCTCAAAAAATGAAGTCTTCAGAGTTGTTTAAAACACACCAAAATACTCTGGAAGAACATATTGGTCAACCCATGGGGACTCGTGTCCAAAAGTAAAAAATTATCAATATTTTTTCTGATATCACCTTAAGTCATACTTCCAGAAAACGACTAATCTATTTCACTACTAATCAGACCACCTTCAATGTCACTGTCTGGTGGATCACTTACACTATCACCATCTGGAGGACCACTTACACTATCACTTTCTAAATGTGGCACAAAATCTGAAATATACGGACAACAGCCGTGAAAAAGACCTAAGTGTCAACCCCATGCAGTGGAAGTATTGCACCACACTCAGCCTGACACCACCGCCAATCTCCACCCACCAACACACACTATTTAACACAGCCATCATGTTACGATGTCATACTCCATTAATTCAAAACTCTTCCTTGGATTCACTGTGCTTCTGACATGAAATACCTAAGTTAAATCCCAGATCACTTCTTCCACTCGATAGCATCTCATGTGACAGCCAATACAGTATAGTATACATACTAATTTCAAGATGATTTGGCGACACTTATAAAATATTAATTCGCTTTTTTTCCTTTCAACACTGCCTGTATTCACCTTAAAAGCCAATACTCACAAAACTGCACAAGTTGATAAGCTGTGGTAAAAACTTTGCTCTGCGCAGCACATGTAGTCAGCTACACAACCAAACTCCGACTACAGCACATTTGTGTGGGGGCTCTCTACTAGTTCGAGTGAGAACCTCAGTGGTGATCGTACATTCAAGGAATTGTTATACTCTTACAAATTGTTATACAAAATGTGCTCCTACTGCTATTGGCCGTTTTTGTTATCGATTACAGTATATAAATGTCCGAGCTTCACCTACCAAGGTTTTTAAGCATTTACTCTAAGTAGACAAAAACACTATATCTCAACTAATAAAAATTACTGAACATCTGACAACCGCAGTGTTAATTATTAACATAATACCTAATTGTGTGTGGATGTCTTTGAAAATTTAGTTTTCACATCTTTCGTTGAGAGAGGCCGTTGAAAGATACTATAATAAGAAGTACTAGCCAAATCACTATATACAAAACTTATCAAATTGCAGTCTGTCCAACGACATCTGAAAACTATTAACACGACTCTTGCCTCACTACAAATGACTATTATAATCTACCCTACAACTCTACTTAAGCACATATACAGTATGTGAATTCTTCAGAAATAACAGCACACTTTGTGACAAAGGCATAGCACCTCTGAATTACAAATACCAGTAACATTTATTCACTCTTTTTATTACTGCGTTCGCCAGTCGCACAAGTGCCTAGTTTATATTATAGAGGGGCAAGGAGCAAGTGATTTAATAGACGTCAAAGGAAATTACTGTCATATATATATATATATATATATATATATATATATATATATATATATATATATATATATATATATATATATATATATTCTTGAATTGTCTTTGATTAGACCGACTTACTGTTTACCATTGTTTGTATACTGTGGCGTACTGTATGTGGTCAGTTGTCAATTCTCTTTGTATGGGCTCACTTAAGTACGTACAAGTAGATATCTCACACTCAGGATTGAGGTAGGATAGAAACTCACAAGGCGTTTTCTGTATATATTGTATGTATACATACTGACAGAACAATGTTTAAATCTCACTATATCATAGCCTAAGTCCTTATAGACAGTACCTATAAAATCTCTTCATATAAGAGGAACAAATAAATAGAATAACAATAAAGTAAATGAAAGTAAAATAATAAGACATCGGGTAAAGGTAGTAGGCAGATATCAAACAGGGATGTATGGTTGCCTGGGAAGATATTCGAAGCATAATGTGTTGTCTAATATGCCTGGGTGGGCAAATTCCCATTAAAAATACTGAATTTAAAATTTAACTTTATGGGACCTCATTCGTATCAGCGGATGTTCTTAAGGCCAGTGATTTTTTTTCTGCAACTGCACATGATAAACAAATATAAAGTGACAACGATTTTACTGAATAAAAATGTTTTTTATCCATCAATTTTCTATATATCTATCAGTCTACTGACAAAAAGATGATGATACTAATGTAAGGCCATTAAAATTACATCACTTAATATTGTATAGTACTGGGTCCCAATACATTGCATATGTATATGCACCTTGTATGAGAGTAGGACAAAATTCCCTAGGACAAAAACCAAACCTAACCTGGAGAAACATTGATATAAAAGATGGAGGGGGAATCTTGTATTACTTTACACTGTAACTTATGTGGGGTTATCCGTGTCCTGTCTAATGTCATTATCGGATTTATTCAATATAATACAGAAAAATACAATTGACATTTTCGACATACAGTATTTCCTGAAGATTAATTTATATGTATTGATTCCCATTTTCAACGACACTTCCAATTTCTATATTCTGTAAGTAATCATCTAGAATACCTGAAAATATGAGAAATACTGCCTATAATGTGTATCTATTTAATCAACTATATACAATATGGCACATTAGGGTGTGTCATACGGAGGCGAATTTTTTTTTTTGAGTTTGAAAAATCGGCCCATGGTATTACTGATGTAGTTCTATGTGCAGAATCATGTGATATCTTCAGATTTGAAAAGTTTTCATTTTTTGCTAGGTAAATTTTAACTTGAAATCTTATGAAAATTCAGTATTCCCACCCTTTTACCAACACCACTAAATAGCTTATTTAAAGTAAAGTAAATGTATCAGGTTAATTTATTAGGATGAAAATGATCCAGAATAGTGAAACGAATGATCTTGACACATTTATTAAATTTAATATTCCTTTAGAAAACAAAATCATCAAATACAAAAACCGGTTTTACTACTACGACCCGGTGTTGCTGCACACCATAGAGAACATGTCTTTCTTGCTTCTGTTTCTACTCATCACCTCCCTGCTGACCACCTGAGCTCGGATGTAGCCTTCCCTCCTCTCCCTGGCTGTACACGTGACTGCTGGCCTCGCTCACTTGCTGTACACAACGCTCTCTGGGTGTGCGAGGGCCAGGCAGAGGACATACATAAGTTGTCCAGAAAGCTCTGGCTTGAACATTGAGGTGAGGCTGCAGGTAAGAGGGGCTCACTGCCAGCCTGGATGTTATCCAGATCTGAGATCAGTGAGGGTCTTGGCATAGATTGACTTCAGGAGTCTTCCTGACCCTGAAGGAATCGTCAATAACTGATTCGTCATGCCCAGATCCTCTCATAAGTCTCATATCCAATATCTTTTTGACTGCCACTCTTCTCTCCTCCTCATCCTTACTGCAGAGCATTGTCTGCAGAACTGCCTCGGGATGAGCATACCAGGAAGATCTCCTCACAGTCTGCTCCACAATCTGAACAGCCTTCCTTGGCTGACTCCTCAGGAGCTCAAGCTGGAAGAGAACATGCCTCGGACATGGGAGAATGTTGAAGCTTGACTGGCAATTGTTGAACCAATTTGGCAAGTGGGCCTCTGATAAGATTGGACATAATAAGTCTCCAGGTTGTGAAGCTGGTTTTTCCCTTTCAGTTTATGATGAGCGACCAATTCTGCAGAACCTGAGAGCCGTTGTGAGCCACCTAGAATGTGAGACTGGACCTATCTGCGGTAAGCAAGTCTGTCAGGCATGACCCCAGTTTTGATGGCACTGCGGAAATCATGTAACCATAGTACTGGTCAGTACTCGGGTCGTCCAATGACGGTATATTGCAAGCTCAGCAGAGTGGAGGAACAGAGCTGTGATTTTTTCCAAAGCTCCGGATTTTATTTCTAACTCGGTGGCAGGTCCATCTTGCCAAGGGACCAGACCATCTGTTGTTTGAAAGAGTCTTGCCATCCAGCTCCTGGATCAGATGTCTGAGTGGCAAC